TTACTTGGCAAGGTCTCAGACCAATACAGTACTGTTTGTGCCAAGTTAAAGGAATTTTACTGTATGTCTATAAGTTTAGGTTTAGGAGGGAGATATGAAGGAACTGGTTCACAAATAGGGTGGTGGACGAGTGAAACAAGCTTAGTAACTTTGTAGTTAGTGCTGGAATGATGGAAAGTTTTAAAAGGAGGCTAGATAGATTCATGGATGATAGAGAGTGGTAGTAACTCTCGACAGGAGCTGCCATGCACAGGCCAACCGGCCTATTGCAGACTCCTTATTTTCTTATGTTATCTAAAGTATGTATACTGTACTGTATATGCAGTCCCGAACAGCAGTTATGTTTATGAAACCCAATTTCACTTCCATTCTCACACTTCCAGAATTCTGAAATCACTCTCCAAAAGGAGTTGGTGGACTCTCAACACTGTGACTCAGGTTCAATACCCACTTGAGTCAGGATGTGAGAAGGATGTTATCCTGTGACACTACTGAACGTAACAGGTTTTCTCTGGGTACGCCAGTTTCCTCATGTACTAACATAGAACCCATGGAGAATGGCCTTCATGGGACCTCTAGGAGGTCAGTTAGTATCAACTGATAGCGAATCATCCATTAAAAATACGTAAAAAATAAAATAAAACTGGGTCTACTTGGTTGAGCATTCCCGCCTCGACTTAAAGTTAGCTCCATTAAACCACCTATGTTACTATACCGAGGCATACATCTTCCCCGTAGTGATCTGTCAGTGTGACCACCAGCCCAACATAATGTTCGCCACACAACAAGGCTGAACAACGACGAAACTAAGTAGTTTAAGTCCATAACCAAGCGTAGGAGCGTGGTGCGGGTGAGTGACTATTATGACACACCCAGCTAGGACCCAACCCACTCGCCGCCACCCCACCTCATCTACCGGGTTTTCTCTTCTCTCTTTACCTCTGATTTTACTATTTATTAGCCTCACTTACCTTCAATTAGCTGCACAAAGATATAGCGGCCTCGGAATTGGGCGTCTCGTAAATTTTAACTGTATTTACATGAACATTTAGGATAGCACTTGGGGTCGCAGCTTCCCTACCCAGTCTCTCAGTATGGTATGAAATGCAGCGATTGCAAAATATGAATTGACATTACATTCTGTTCAACAGTTAAGTGTTATCTATTTAAATCAATCTGTTATTGTTAACATATAAATGGTACTAAAAATCATATCTTATAAACTTAAATGTCTAATCAAGTATTAATTCTTATTCGTTGTGGTTTAACTTTATCCATCTCGCCATTTGTCGGCTCGCTATTGAACACGTCTCTATTAAAATCATCCGAAATATATATTTTATCAAATATATATTTAATTCATAGCTTTTAATTATATGTATTTTACAATTGTTCCATACTCGCCAAAATGACACGTTAGGAATTCTAAAAAATAGTTTTGATTTGCTGTATTTTTCATATTTATGCTTGGAGTTCTACTAAGAGATAAATAGATTTCTTTCACTCGCACGCTTTAAAGATGTACGATTTAGCATTATTTATTTATTGTACTTGAAATAATATTAGCATTTGAAAGCATCAAAGTATTCCAAAACCTCTGATTCTATTTCTAGTTAACAAAAAATACGTCGCCCAAAAATTAGCGACGATAAACATAAACATAAAGTAAGAAATTTTTGATCATGGACAACTGACAGAACTGTTAAGGAAATGGTCGTTAAGTGGTGATCAAGATTTTCTCATAAAAATACTTCGAAGCAGAAATTTGACCCTGTTTAAACGCAAAGGGTAATACTCAGTCAAATGTACATAACTCAAGGAAATTGTACTTATTACCTATATTGCTATTTCTCTATCCTTACTGTTTCATATAGTTTTGGATTTTTATCAAGCTTGTACTTTTCAATCGATATGGGTTAACTTAAGCGGGATTATAGTGTTTGTCATCAGTCTCGTTATCGTAATACTATGAGTCACTTATTATGCCACTACAGTACAGTATTGTAGTGGATTCCTCCCCTACAAACGCTGTTTGTCGCTGAGTAGCCGACCCCGCGAATTCCCCAGTGTATGCCTCGTGGTCTGGGTCAACCAGCGCCGCCATACATCACGGAGGTCAACTACTAAGCCACGCCTACCCCCCGCTATTTAAGACCTGACCTCGTGGTGATCACTCTTTTTCTACCTACACCAACCAGCCAGCAACACCTCCTCCTCCTCCGCCGCTGCCTGGCGGCCCTCGCTCCCGCCGGCGACCCACATGCTGTCCTCCTCTTTAGCATCCTCACCAACCAGCTCTCTCTACTTAACATAAGAACATAAGAACATAAGAACATAAGAAAGTGGGATACTGCAGGAGGCCGACTGGCCCATACAGGGCAGATCCCTTTCACACCCATCCCAGCACTTCCATGTGCCTATCCAACTTCGTCTTGAAGCTCCCTAGCGTCCCCGATCCTACTATAGCACTCGGTAGCCTATTCCACATATCCACAACTCTATTACCAAACCAGTGCTTGCCTATATCCTTTCTGAATCGGAATTTATCTAATTTAAAGCCATTTGTTCTAGTTATTTCGTTATTACTGAGCTTCAGAACATCTTCCATTTTACCCTTGTTAATCCCACTTACCCACTTGTACACCTCTATCATATCTCCCCTAACTCTACGCCTCTCTAATGAATGTAAGCCTAAGCTTTTCAGTCTTTCTTCATATGGAAGGTTTCTAATATTATGGATCATTTTTGTCATTCTTCTTTGTACTCTCTCCAAAGAATCTATGTCCATTCTATAATAAGGACACCAGAACTGAACCGCATAATCCATGTGTAGCCTCACTAATGCTAGGTAAAGTTTCAAGATAACGTCAGCAGTTCTGTTACTCACAGACCTAGATATGAACCCAAGAATCCTTGTAACCACGCTGCCACTTCCCAGCACCAAGCTGCATTGTACATCCAATACAACATGTATACAGAGAGCACATTGTGAGTTTCCTTTCTCCATCCCATGCTGAGTATGAACAAATAACCCGTACCCCACAGTATCACCATTTGAACTCCCACAATTGCGTCAACCAATATTAATACTTTTAATGACATGTCTTATTAACTATGTAACAGTATGGCTCGTCTAACTATAATTATTATTTTGAATATTGCATTGTATTGAAAATCTATTATTCTATCAAGTCGTTTATGACACATTTTTCTACCTACTGTATGTCTAAATGGTTACATGAGGCAGAGCCACCTTTCAGCAGACCGAGGCAACACTCCTCTGTAAGTTGGGAATCTCAAAGCCAGAGGTCACTGATGTAGCTCATGGGTCAAGGAACAGCTTTTTTTATAAATAACTGTACATCAGTCAAAAGATGTGCAGAAATGGAAGCTCAGCAGAAGTAAGTTTCGACTTGATGAGGGTTTTATTATAAAAAAAAAAAGGTTTATTCTCCCAAGTCTGCACCTGGCAGAAATGGAACAAGGAGAGGGGGATGGTTTGAAGTGTAGGTGCCCTGGACGTTGGTGCTCTGTGGTGAGGGCGGATCAAACGTACAATATATATTTTAACCTCCCAATAATTCATTACCATAATCCAGAGTGCCCTCCCAAGACACCACTGCCCATCCAAACCACCTGCTGCTTTTCTTTGTCAAGATGCCGAGAACCATTTTGACAGACATTTAAATAATTGCTGATCTTATGCCTGTACATCACCAGTCACTGCTCACCTACTGACCTGTACATCACCAGTCACTGCTCACCTACTGACCTGTACATCACCAGTCACTGCTCACCTACTGCCCTGGACATCACCAGTCACTGCTCACCTACTGCCCTGTACATCACCAGTCACTGCTCACCTACTGCCCTGTACATCACCAGTCACTGCTCACCTACTGCCCTGTACATCACCAGTCACTGCTCATCTCCTGCCCTGTACATCACCAGTCACTGCTCACCTACTGCCCTGTACATCACCAGTCACTGCTCACCTACTGCCCTGTACATCACCAGTCACTGCTCACCTACTGCCCTGTACATCACCAGTCACTGCTCACCTACTGCCCTGTACATCACCAGTCACTGCTCACCTACTGCCCTGTACATCACCAGTCACTGCTCATCTCCTGCCCTGTACATCACCAGTCACCAGACGTAGAGTGAGGGGCGATATGATAGAAGTGTATAAGTGGAAGTCAGGGCTAAACAAAGGGGACATAACAAAGGTACTCAAACTATCCAACCTGGAGCAAACTCGTAACAAGGGTTTTAAATTAGACAAATTTAGAATTAGGCGCAAAATGGGTAAACACTGGTTTGGAAATAGAGTAGTGGATGAATGGAACAAGTTACTAAACATCATTATTTACTCGAATACAATGGATAGCTTCAAACATAGGTTGGATGGATATATGAGCAATAGGGGTTGGGTGTAAATGGGCTAATAGGCCTGCTGCAGTTTCCTCCATTCTTATGTTCTTATCTCCTGCCCTCTACATCACCAGTCACTGCTCATCTCCTGCCCTCTACATCACCAGTCACTGCTCATCTCCTGCCCTCTACATCACCAGTCACTGCTCATCTCCTGCCCTCTACATCACCAGTCACTGCTCATCTCCTGCTATAAAACTTGTTTCAAATTTGCCTGATGACAACCTAGACATCATGACACCAGGTAACCACAGCTAACACAGAGAAGTGTGGAAAATGTCCGTAAAATTACAATGAAGATTTTATTTTGTTATCTTTACATTTATTTTACTTTTACATCCTAACGTACAGACAATACATGTCTCTGTACATGATGATTAAACTGTAACCCATGTTTGGAGTAATCCCAATTGTAACCAGAGAACTAAAATATAAACAAACTTTTTTAGATGTAAGGACGGACGGGGGTAGGACTATATGCCCCCTTTAGCAGGGGAATGAAGTACTATGAGTGATGTTTATAATACCTAGCAGTTAACACGAACTCATGAAATGAAACACAAAAGTACTGATTGTCCAATTCATTTTATTGGCCCATTAAAAAATTAGTGGCTAAATTAATAACATTAGGTTATAAGAACAAGAGTGAAATGACCAACAGCAAGGAAAAGTTTGCAGCCATTAGTCTTTCATGAAGATGAAGATATTCATCCATAGTGTTACAAACACACACAGAAAGTTTGTAAAAGCAAGTTTAATGCCATTCAGAATTAGATCTGATTTCTTCAGTGGTACATACACTATCCTACAACATCTATACCACTATATAGTCATCAGCACCCTCTTAACTGCTCGTTCCTTCTTTTTTCTCTTGCGGCGAGCCTCCTTAACTTTCTGTGAGGCTTCAGCAAAGAGCTGTGTCTCAGACCGTTGCTCTATTCGATCCTTCATATGACGTAAACCAGCAAGATTGAATCCTACCATATCCTGTGGGAAGATGTAAATTGGTCACTTCTTTGGTAATTATAATCCAATATACATATATATGTTTGTGTGTGTGTGAGTGAGTGTGTGCACAGGGTGGTGTAACACATCCAATGTGGCAGCATTATGTTAGTGTTAAGGTGCAAGCACTGCTTGCTTTAGACCATCACGTGGCACCACTGACTTGATCTTTGCAGCCCGCCAGATACTGAAAAAGTGCAGAGAACAGCGTTGTGACCTGTACATGGCCTTCATCGACCGAACCAAGGTCTGCGACTCGGTCAACAGGGAAGCCGTTTTGGCTGCTCACAAAAATTCATTGCAATTGTGAGGCAATTCCACGATGGCATGAACGGCAGTGTACTGCACAATGGCACCCAGTCTGAGTTCTTCCCCATCCAAACAGGGGTAAAGCAAGGATGCGTACTGGCACCAACTCTCTTTTCCATTTTCTTGGCTGCCTTCCTTACTCGTGCTAGCGCCAATTTAGCTGGCGGGGTGGACATCCAGTACCAGATGAAGGGTCTTTTCAATGTAAAACGACTCCAGGCAGGAAAAAAGGTGTCGGCAGCTTCCATTACCGAACTTCAATATTCAAATGACCTCATCCTTGTCGCTCACACTGAACGTGACCTACAAGAGATCCTGAACACCTACGCAGATGCAAATGCACACTTCGAACTTGAGGTGAATGTACGTAAGACTCAGATTCTCTTTCAGCCTGCCCCTGGTTCAGCTACACCTTCACCATCCATCCAGCTCAACGGTACTACCCTCTCTAATGTTACCCACTTTCAGTATCTCAGCTCCCACCTGTCCACCACCACGGACATCAATGAAGAGATTCAACATCGGATTAGATGTGCATCTCAAGCCTTTGGCAGACTCCGTACCCGTGTCTTCAGCTGTAGGGAGCTCGCTGTTATATGGCAGCGAGACATCAGTCACATACAGGAGGCACCTCAAGGCACTTGAAAACTTTCACCAACATAGTCTACTGTATGTTCCATCCTCCGAGTTCGCTGGGAAAACAAAAGAAAAACAAAATGCCAGTATTCTCGCTGACACCAACTGTAGGAGCAATGTTACCTGCATGGACAACAATAGACTGCCAAAGCAGCTACTTTACAGTCACCTAACAAATAGTAAATGCAACGCTGGCAGGCAAATGAAAAGGTATAAGGATAGTCTTAGGACAAACCTGTGAAAATGCCAAATCGACTCCCTCACCTGGGAGATGATTACTCCACACCATAATGCTTGGAGGAGCACCACACAAGAAGGTGTCAATAATTTCAAATTAGCCCGACAGCATACCGAGGTTGACAAGCGCCAATTCCGGAAAGATGCTGCCGCAGCCCCTCCTGCACTAGATGTAGCCCTCCACACGTGCAACATCTGTAGACGACCCTGCCAATCCCGTATCAGCCTCTCTAGTTACCTCAGAGCTCACCAACGAAGGTGATATCCTAATAACTCCTATCATTGTATCATAACTGCATGATCGTCATACTCGATTCCGAGTGACAGCAAAGTAGTAGCAGTAGTGTGTGTGTGTGTGTGTGTGTGTGTGTGTGTGTGTGTGTGTGTGTGTGTGTGTGTGTGTGTGTGTGTGTGTGTGTGTGTGTGTGTGTGTGTGTGGTGAGTATGTGGAGGTCGGTGGGTCTATGGCGAAAAACCATTGTCAGGGACACTGCTGCATTGCTAAAGCAAACATACAGGGTAACTGTGATGCAGTTTGAACACAAACTTGTAACATTTCTACTCTCTTTATACTTTCATTAATACTATTTATATGCTTTTGTTATTGATGTATGAGTGCCTATAATTTTAAGTTTTAATGTTCCAATGAACTGTACAGTTAAAACTACTTTTAGGGGTGAACCTAGTTATCTGAACAGAGTCTTCACAGGCAGTTACAGTGGGTTTGCTCTACATTTTGTACATTTTTGGCTGGGCGCTCCAAATTCAGTTAAAACCCCCTATCCAGCATCCCCCAGATCCCAAGCACGTCAGATAAATGGCCCCATTCTTGTATAATAATTATATACAGGTATACATCATGTGTACTCTGTGTGTTCAATGATTACCTATGGAAGAGCCACTTCTGGTTTACAGATAGCCTTCCGGAACAAAACCCATTCATAACCCAGAGAGTGTCTGTACATTAAAAAAGTTGCAGATTTAGCTGAGGAAGAGATCAGAAGCTTTTACAAATTCAGTAGATTACTATTTCTTACTAACTCTATTTCTGTAAAGTAATTTTTATCAATGTCACTTAAATTTTTTTGTTTTTTTTGTTACTCAAGCTGTTATCAAAACATTAACACCTGGTTCTGGAAACACTTCAGATTATAAAAACATTTTCTTACTTAATGCACTCACCTCCATTGTGATAACAGAAGTGACAACACAGAATGTCAAACTTTTGTTCCTTAGATATTTTCAATCTACTTTGTGTATATCTTTCATAGTAAACAAAAGTTTCTAAATATATTCTCCAGACAAGAGTATAATGAGTATAACAATAATGTTACTCAGTCCTGGTAAACATACTGTACATGCCACTTTTCCAAGATAAAATCTAACTAACCTGTAGCTGGAGAGTCTTTTTAGGTAAGAGATATGCCAGGGCATGGATGATGGGAGCAGCTTTAGCAGATGCCAGTAACTGGGGAAGGTTTATCCTCACTGCTAATACCAAGATTCTACTTGCCAGTTCAACATCCCAATCATGTTCTAATAGTCCTTTGATCACCACCAATAATTCTAGAATACGGTCCAATGGAAGCAAAATTACAGCTTCTTCAAGTTCACTGCAAAGCAACACAGAAAATTATTAGCACTCAACAGTAAATCTTAATACAATTCCTTATTATTATAATGTGATGGTCAAGGAGGTACAGTACAAATAACTGAGTGAACTCTGAAGAACAATGTTAGTGGCAAAGTGATCTATATTCATTCAAGAATTGTCTAGCACACCATAGATAAAAAATATGAAAATTCTGTAAAGCGTATATATTTAGTTGTGTAATAAAAAATTGGTACAGTATACAGTACTGTACATGCTCTATTCATATTTAAAGAGCTTTAGGTTTTAAGTTGATGAAGAAATGTGAGAGGGAAGGGAATTCCATCGTTGATAAGTACCTGGTACCAGGAATGAAGATGATGGAAAGATGATGAGGTACAACTGGTGGGGATTTTCAATGAGTAAGGCCCTGAGACTACCTAGCTGAATGTGAATCTATTAGCAACCCTCACTACTGTGCAGATCCAGTAAAACTGGAGTCTCCCTCAAGGAAACAGCCACTGGAAAAGACAGTTTAGTAGCCTTCTTTTTTTCTTCTTAATATTGATTATACAAACAAAATCTCTTACCAATATATATTCCATATCCACTTCAGAATTAATAGCCCTGAACAGACAATGTACCAAATCTTGTGCCTTACATATATGGAGATATAAAGTTATGTTATGTACACTATCCACGGGTATAAATTCGCCCTTTTTTTCAGGTAGCCAGCTGGGCTAATAGAACCGGATAGTTACTAGCCCTTCCCAAAGTTTATTAGCCCTCCCAAAATTTTAAAAGACAAAAAAAAATAAAAAATCAATATACCTGTAGTTGACATATACTGGGTAGGCCTACATAGAAAATTTTTTACTTTGACACTTTATTTAATTTAATAGCAAAAAGTAAATTACAGGTACTCCCCGACTTTCGACAAACGACCACCCGGACATATAACCGCCTCAGTCGTACGAAAAAAATTTCAAATTACGTATTTTCGAATCCTGCCGTTAGTGATTGCGCTGTGTACTGATAAAATTTTCGTTTGTAATTCCCTTTAAAATGGCTGGCAAGCTTGAAAGTGAGAGTTTTGTGGTGCTGAAAAGAAAAAGAGACACCCATTTTAGATTTTCTATGTACAGTATTATTTTTGCATTTTCGACTTACGACCTGGATTTGGGTCCCTAACCCCATCGTAAGTCAGGGACTGCCTGTATATTCAAATTGCAAACACTGGCATGCACAACATATTATAATATGAATAATATGTTTCCTTGTTTACTTTATATCATTAGCTGAAATTTATAAACAATTTAGATCCTCTTAAAAACTACAGCATGCCCTGACAATTCGCAGACCCCATTATTCGTGGATGACACCCTGGATGTAACCAAGAATATCTAAAAGTAGTTTTAAAGTTGCTGGCATTTTCACAGCCAGGACAGGGAGCCATTTGTTCTAGAGATAGTAATTTCTTTTACCTGTATTGCATAGATGTGTGTATAGACACACACACACACAAAACACATACAAATAAATAATAATTGGAAAATCCTCTCACAAATAATCAGAAACAAATGTATTAAAAATGTGAGAGTCTACCCACAAGTCCACTCCGTGCAGAACCTCTTTCACTTTACTGTATATGCCACTTTAAATCTACAAATATCTGATGCAAATGAAGTTTACAAATATCTATTTTTCTTTTGCATTTGCATCTATTAACATTGCTGGTACAGTACAGTGACCCCTCTTTAACGAACACCTCGGTTAACGTAATTTCGATTAACGAACTGCCTTCCATAAGGATCTTCAATTCGATTAACGAAAAAAAATTCGGTTAACGAAGTTCTTACGAACCGACCTCAACATGTTTTCGCTTGCACTGACCGGGCAACCAGCTATAGTATCAGTCCGCCAATACATTAATCGGTTCTAGGGCTTAAATTCCTTACTATTTTAGTAAATATCAAGAAGTTTATACTATTCAATAATTTTAAAAGTTTAATATTCAATTTTTTAGTCATTTTAACAATTATTGAACATAATTGAAGGTAAAGTGACTAGTTTAATGCGCGGCATCCAGCCTCTTAACACAGCAAACAGGAGTTAGTCTCTCTCTGTTTTCACTGGAGGTAACATCTTGCTTGAGACTCTCTTTAACTAAACGCTTTTTTTCTGTGTTTCCAAGCAAATTATTGGTCATTTTGAAATATATTTTACATTGACAATATATAATGCAGTGCAGTGTTGATTTAAAGAAAATAATCTTGAATTACACCAAGAAAGCTAAAATTTTATGGGTGAAATGGCGCCATGGGGTGACTTCTCTTCCACCCCAATGCCTTCTCTTCTTCCTTCTCCTCCACCCCCATTCTAAATCCCATCATCATCATCATCATCATCCAGGAGCCTTCTACATACACACCTCAAAGTAAGTGAACTTTTCTACCATTTTTGTTGAATTTAGGAAATTTTCGGTGAGCTGGAACCAATTACCCAAAAACCCATTGAAACAATGGTTTCGGTTAACGAACGAACGACCTTCTGGAATGGATTGAGTTCGTTAACGGAGGGGTCACTGTATAAGAAACTCGTTTTTTTTTATCAGGGGCGAACAATACGAGAGAGGTTTATACACGACTATATACAGTACATCACCCATTTAGCAATACAACACTGCATAAGAACAAGGGTTACTGTAACAAACATATTGTAGTTTATGTATACAGTGGTCCCTCGGTTAACGAGATTTCGGTAAACAAGTTACCTTCCATAAGATTCTTAACTTCGGTTAACGAGCAATCCCTTGATTAACGAGTTTCTTACGAGCCGACCTGAACATGTTTTCGCTTGCATTTGGCGGTCCACCAGCTGTAGTATTAGTCCGCCAATACAGTAATCGGTTCTAGGGGTTAAATTCCTTATCATTTTAGCAAATATCAAGAAGTTTATACTATTCAATAATTTTAAAAGTTTAATAATAAATTTTTTAGTCATTTTAACAATTATTGAACATAATTGAAGGTAATGAAACTAGTTTTATGCGCGCCATCCAGCCTCTCAACACACCATACAGGCGTCAGTCTTTGTGTCTTTTCAGTGGAGGTAACATCTTGCTTGAGACTCTTCAACTAAATGCTTTTTTCTGTGTTTGCAAGCAAATTATTGGTCATTTTGAAATTTATTTTACATATTGACAATATATAATGCAGTGCAGTGTTGATTTAAAGAAAATAATCTTGAATTACACCAAGAGAACTAAAATTTTATGGGTGAAATGGCGCCATGGGGTGACTTCTCTTCCACCCCAATGCCTTCTCTTCTTCCTTCTCCTCCACCCCCATTCTAAATCCCCATCATCATCATCATCATCCAGGAGCCTTCTACATACACACCTCAAAGTAAGTGAACTTTTCTACCATTTTTGTTGAATTTAGGAAATTTTCGGTGAGCTGGAACCAATTACCCAAAAACCCATTGAAACAATGGTTTCGGTTAACGAACGACCTTCTGGAATGGATTGAGTTCGTTAACGGAGGGGTCACTGTATAAGAAACTCGTTTTTTTTTATCAGGGGCGAACAATACGAGAGAGGTTTATACACGACTATATACAGTACATCACCCATTTAGCAATACAACACTGCATAAGAACAAGGGTTACTGTAACAAACATATTGTAGTTTATGTATACAGTGGTCCCTCGGTTAACGAGATTTCGGTAAACAAGTTACCTTCCATAAGATTCTTAACTTCGGTTAACGAGCAATCCCTTGATTAACGAGTTTCTTACGAGCCGACCTGAACATGTTTTCGCTTGCATTTGGCGGTCCACCAGCTGTAGTATTAGTCCGCCAATACAGTAATCGGTTCTAGGGGTTAAATTCCTTATCATTTTAGCAAATATCAAGAAGTTTATACTATTCAATAATTTTAAAAGTTTAATAATAAATTTTTTAGTCATTTTAACAATTATTGAACATAATTGAAGGTAATGAAACTAGTTTTATGCGCGCCATCCAGCCTCTCAACACACCATACAGGCGTCAGTCTTTGTGTCTTTTCAGTGGAGGTAACATCTTGCTTGAGACTCTTCAACTAAATGCTTTTTTCTGTGTTTGCAAGCAAATTATTGGTCATTTTGAAATTTATTTTACATATTGACAATATATAATGCAGTGCAGTGCTGATTTAAAGAAAATAATCTTGAATTACACCAAGAGAACTAAAATTTTATGGGTGAAATGGCGCCATGGGGTGACTTCACTTCCACCCCAATGCCTTCTCTTCTCCCTTCTCCTCCACCCCCATTCTAATTCCCATCATCATCATCATCCAGGAGCCTTCTACATACACACCTCAAAGTAAGTGTATTTTTCTACCCTTTTTGTTGAATTTAGGCAATTTTTGGTGAGCTGGAACCAATTACCCAAAAACCCATTGAAACAATGGTTTCGGTTAACGAGTTTTTCGATTAACGAGCAACCTTCTAGAATGGAATGTCATCATTAACCAAGGGACCACTGTAGTACTGTACCTTGATTTCACCTTCCTGAGTACCTCTAGGACAAACTTGAGAGGATCAGAAGTGTGATACACATAAGTCATCAGTTGGTGAGGTACAGCTAAAGATCCTGCCTCAATTTGCTCCCGATAGATCATCAGAGCCTCCAGGATCATATCAGCCTATGGTAAAGAAAATATATATACTGTATACATAAAAGTTGTTTTTTTAAAGTAAATTTGAAGTACAGCACAGAAAAACTCCTCAAGTCTAACTTCTATAAGTCGGATTTACCGCCAAGTCTGACTCGGTCTGAGTTGCCGGCGCATCACCAGAAACAGAGATATCTTTACAATAAACAAGAATTAAGATATCACCACTTTTTGCAATGACCATATAACTGCTGGCTCACTTGAACTATAAAATAAGAAAAATGAAGAGCATGGGTGTGTGCGTGTGAAATGATCGTATGTGTGGAGACAGTGAGCTGTAACTGTATCGTCGACTCGCCAACCAGCAACTGCTCTCCCCCTCCCCCCCTGATGTGACATTATGGCACACACACACATTTCAGAATTAGCTGGGTGACTGCCCGGCTGAACTGTATCAAGTCACTCAGAGGATGGCTTGAGTGTGGAAGGAGCTATTTTTGTATATAATATATGTGCTATTGTATTTTATGATATGCTGTGCATAAATTTTACGGTTTAATATTGCATTTTTTTTCATTTTTTACGTACGCAATTTGAAATTTGTTTTAATTAGGTTCACCTTTTGCTCACTAAATTGTTTAACTATGAACCACATCATTTATAGAAAACTTTGGTGTTGATAAATCAATCGTTTGACTTTGAAACCGTTTATAAGAAACTCGTTAATTATTAATATTTTCATTAAGGAGAACTGTACAGTACTTACTCAGTGTTTACCGCCCTGCTGTTTGAACCTGTTGTTTGCCCTGTGTACTTTGCTGCTATCGCTTGTTTAGCAATAATTTAATAGAATATTAGGTTTTCAGGAATGCAACCCATTGTACACAGATACCTGTACTGTATGTACAAAACACCAAAGAAACTGGTTCAGTGAGGCACTTAAAGAAACTGTCATAGCTGCCATTTAGTGTAGGTGTTACAAAGAACTCCATCTCTAATAATGTTTTTATATTATTGGACTAGTGTATTACTAACCTTGTTACGTGCTTAAAGACCTTAGTTGTTGAAGCACAGTACAGTAATAACAGTATAACAACAGTGAGGTAAATTCAACTCATACCTGTAATATGGTACTGTATTCTCTCCATTGATTCATGATGGAAAAAGCAACTTTCAATAAGTAATCATATAAGTAAGTAAAAAAAATTATTTTTGGACATATATTATGAAAATAATGATATACATTACGGCACCGTATCATTTTTTTTTCAGGTTCTTGCTCATAAATTAGAGCACGGGACAATTTTTTTTTCGCAACTGCAAATTTTTGCAAATCAAATGCTCGTAAATCATGGTCTGTCAATAGAGATACCCTGTACAGTATGTATGTGAAAAACACAATTTCAAGTAAGCATTATAAAAATAAAGAAATGAACTAACAGCCTGTTCTGTGTGATGGCTGGTCATGGATGGTCTAACAGCCTGTGCTCCTTCTTCTCCAGGCACCACAGGCCTCTGAGTGGCAGTTGTTCCCCCTCCTTTTTCCTCTTCCTTCTGGCGTTCTTCCTCACGCTCCTCTTCTAATACCAAAGGCTCTTGTGTGCGCTCCCATAACCGTATTGAACGATCCTGTCCACCAGTTGCCACCCAGGCACCTTTTGGACACACAGCTAAACACCTGAAATTATTATATTGAAAAGAACTGGAGGTTAAGAATGTGTTGCATTGCCTACAGATGATAAGAGATATCAAGACTAATAAAAATGTTCAACAGTGAGGAAAATGGAGAGTAACATAAATTTTTTATTGCTTACTAACCTGACAATGCCAGTGTGACCCTCAAGGGTAACAATCCTCTGGAAGTTATCAGCATCCCACTGCTTCACTGAGCCATCCTGACCACAAGAGAAAAACATGTGGGTTTTCGGTATGAATCGAAGATCAGTCACTCCTCCTTGATGGGCATTCTTTAACAATCTGACAATAAAAATATTTTAGTTTCAATTAAATCAATAAATTAAAAGGTGAGAAAAATTATATCACAGAATGCTATAATGCAGTTTAACATTTTTTTTAAAGTAATATTGTACAGTACGTACATGGTATCTGGTAATATAATACAGAATATGGTAATTTCTTTTAATTTAATATATGGTACAGTACTGTATTTTATAAAATTTATAATTTTGTTATTGTGGGGTAATGTTTGGGGAAAATATTTTAACAGTGAACATGATTTTGCTTCGGTAATCTTCAAAACTTTAAGGTTTGGTCATGTTTGGTTTCATCTACCACCACAGCACTGGATATAAATCATTGAGTAAAATTCAGTACTGAAATTCTTACACATCTGCTAACACTACTGCTTCTTGTCATGTAAAACTGTTGCAGGTCTGATTGTTTATAAACTTCAAATCATTTTTATAGTAAACATGATTTTGCTTGGTTTACTTTTATTAGTGTAGGTAAAAACCTAACTGTGATTTGTGAAAATATAGAAGTTTGTAGATAAAGATGCACACATATATGAGACTGGACAATTGTTAGCTTACATAACATTCAATGCTAACATTCATAACTCGAGCCAACTTACTTTGTTGTTGCATGTCCTCAAATATTTTTGTGATTCTTGCAGCCATACAGCCCAAAAGAAAATGTTCATACAGAATCACTTAGAGATCAATGAAAATTACCAGGTACATGCAACACTGCACAAAAGAATGGTGTCTGTGCATACTGTACCAGTAACATCCACCTCAGCAATTCGTCAACTGACTACCCACCATCATGACCAACGAGTATCAGCTAGCCTGTACATCTATCTACACCCATTATTACTACTAGAAGGCAATGCATAGAGCTCCATAAGCTTATATATAATAAACATAAAAATCATACATTTTACCTTCTTTGGTCGCCAAAATCTGTTCCATATATACGGAGGCTTGTGTCTTTACTCCCAGTCACTATCATAGTCCCATCTGTGGAGAAATCCATGCAGGTGGCAGGAAGAGCCTTCCCATACAGCTCATGACACAGCTGTTAATGACAATGTTAAAATAAAAAATCTGAATCTTAATATAGTTTTAAAGAATTACTAAATGAGGGAAAAAGGAGTACAGGTGATGTAGCTTAGAAATAAAGAAAATACTGTACTGTATACAGTGTATAATACAGAACAGTATTTTAAATTAATAATAAAGTAAATAATACAATAATATATAAATGTAACTATTACATCGCGAGGTTCAAATACTGTACTCGGTAATAAAGTTGAGATCTATTGTGTAAAAATTTTCTTATAGTACACGCAATAGAACCAACAAAGGCCATCCAATTACCTTTATCAGATACGTACACAATAACCTGTACAGTCCTCCATCAGGGGTCTAATGTCTACATATTTTGTCCTACACCCTTTAAGTTTTTTTCTGCTGGAAAGTGAAGAATCTGGAATCATGGGTACACACCGACTCCTCATTCATTCACTGTTTGTCATTCATTCTTACTGCTTTAACAGATATATTCTACTAAGGTAATCTCTTTCTACAACAAAAACCCAAATATCTATACTGTACAGAGTAGGCATATACTTCAACACAATATAATGTGCACAGAAAAACATACATTAACATCTTGGTTACCAAATACTGTACCTCTTTACATAGTCCCCAGTATAGACCTGACTCAGTTCTTGCTACCAAACACCCACATCACAAACAGTCTGGGGCTGCTTCATTAATTCCAATTTTGTTTTGACTGACCAATCTCTTATTAACCAATTAACCTTACCTACACCATATAATTTAGTTAAAGGAAAATTCTTTATATATATATATATATATATATATATATATATATATATATATATATATATATATATATATATATATATATATATATATATATATATATATATATATATATATATATATATATATATATATATATATATATGATAACCACAAGGAAAGAAGAAAACACGAAGTTCCCAAGCGCTTTCGTGTAATTCACATCTTCAGGGGTGAGTACAGACTAAAGAGAAATACAAACCAAGGTGTATATATACAGAGGAGGGTGAGACCAGGTCCACAATGGTCAGGTATTAGGTAATGACCCTACTAATCTTTAAATAGCACACAACGGTTGGTGGTCAGGTCAGATGGTCAGGTGACCCGACCTTCTCACCTGGTTACAAATCTTCTTAATTACAAAATTGCCCAGCTTGTACATGCCGTTACTCAAATTCATGTTGAATGCTAGGTATGTTTAATAAGACTAGATTCTATGATAGTAGGAACATCATAGAATCTAGTCTTATATATATATATAATATATATATATATATATATATATATATATATATATATAAAGAGAGAGAGAGAGATACACACTGTATAACACATTGGAATACTTTAACCTTTAAAGTATCTGAGAAGTAAAGGGTTTCTTTCAAGTCCAAGGTTGCCACTGCCAGAAACCTTCCATTGCTTGAACATCTAACACAGGTAACTTGGTCAGCAACCTTAAAAAAAAGAAAAAATTAACAAACTAACATAATAACGTGTTGTTAGACATATCATCGTTGGTAACTGTGTAATTAATTTTTGTTACCTTTCTCCACAATGCTTCACATGGTACAGTATATAGAGTGAGCACTGGCAAATGCATAAAAAAAAAAATTTCTAATGCTGTACAGGTAGTTCTGCTATAACGCGATAATTGTGTTCTTGTAAAATATCGTGTTATAGAAAATCGCGTAATAGAAATAACAGGGCTTATGGAGAAAATAGGGTTAGGTGCAGATTACTCGAAATCGAAAAAATTTAGTAGTTAGCCTAACACAAAGGATAGCACAGTCTAAATAAATGTTACATTCATATCTAATAATGAAATCATACAGTAAATGTAACACTTTACTTGATGGGGGAGAAGGGTGATTTTGAGGTTGATAAAATCGAGCTTCTCTTCAAGTGTTATATCCTTTCTTTTACGATCATCACCGGGAATTCTATCACCAGAACGCTTCTTGTTGATATTCTTCTTTACTATATTCACAGTTAATACAGTGGGGTATGCTATAACGAACGGATTCTACTACGAATATTCCTATAACGAACGGTTTTACCTATAAAATTGAGAATGCTATAACGAACGAAACTCCTACAACGAACATTATTTAATTTTTTTTTTCTAATTTATTGTTTTTTTATTACAAATATTAATGATATTCTTTATTTCAGGGGTTTAGATGCATCTTTATGCACTTTTTTACAATTTTTACAATTTTATATTATATTTTTCAGTGTTAAGTGGTTGTATTTGGGGGCCTGGAACGGATTAATCCTATAACGAACGAATGCTATAACGAACAAGGTTCTAGAACCAATTAGATTCGTTATAGCATACCCCACTGTACCACAAAATTGGAGAAATAGTAAGCAAAAATCGCGTTATAGCAAACAAGCGTTCGCGTTATACAAATATCGTTCCTAATTCATAAATCGCGTTAGAGCAAATTCGCGTTATCAAAACACGCGTTATAGCAGAAATCACTGTACTGCCATAACAACAAAAGAGGAATAGCACTCTGTTGTCTCACCCCAAGGAACCAAATAAGGTAAAACTATAATAGCCAGACAAAGTTGGTGACATGTTGCTTCCTCTGCTATGAGCTGAGTTGGTCACTTCATCATATAACTCGAGACATGAATGCCTGTTAGGGAGAGTGTTGATACAGCAGCATACTGTAAACCAAACGTTTGGTACACAAGGAAGCAACATGGCCGGTACTACACTCAACCGCATTCACTTCCCCAAGTTGTAAACTTAGGTACAGCAAGCCCTTACAATTCTTTGTTTTTTCAATTTGTGGATGACACCCTGGATGTAACCAAGAGTGTCTGTGGGTAGTTTTAAAGTGGTGGCATTATTGCGGCCGGAACGGAGAGCCAAGGGTGGTGAATGACTTTGCTGGCTCCCCACAGTCGACCAGGATGTGCAGCACATCGTCCAGTTTGCCCGTCAAGTGGGAGGTGAGGGGTTCAACGATCCTCAAGAGGAAGAGGTGCAAGAGGAGCTCCTGGGCCATGCTGGGGAAGAGCTAACCTTGAAAGAGCTGGCTGAGCTTGTCGAGGAATAGCGTCGTGAGGATGAGGAGGAAGAAGGTGAAGTGGAGGAGGTGCCCACCTTAACTGTCACGGGCCTCAACAGGTGCTTGCTGGCTAGTAGAACACTCGTGGACATGTTTTTCGAGACTGATTCCTCTATTGAGAGATCAGTCAGCTTTAAGAGAAGGCTGGAGAGGTTCCTGCTTCCTTACAGTGAAATAATGAAGGAACCCAAGCACCAGGTTGCCCAGCCCCCAATCACCATGTTCTTCCTGCCTTCGTCCACTCCAAGCCCTACACCTTCTACACTTGCAAAAAAGCATCAGCCTCCAGTTCGTGCATCTACTCCTCCTGACTCTGATTCCAACATGGACGACCATCCTCCTGCCACCCCCTACTCTGACCTCTCTCCGCTCTCCTCTGCCTCCTCTTCTGAAGCAGATGAGGAGCACTTGTAATTCCCGTCTTCATCTTCATCATCAACATCATTGTCATTTTCATCATGATAATTCATCAGTGGCAGGGGAGAGAGTAACAGGCTCTACAGCATGGAATGGTGAGTGTTAATCTATTTTTTTTTATAATAAACACAGAGTTGTCAATTGTTGTTTGTGGGAATATTAATTCAATCACTCTAGTAGTGATACAATGTTTCTTATTATGTTATCATCGGAAAATGCATGGTTTATATAATTTGTTTATCACTGAGCCTGTCACTATTTTCATATTAAACTACAAAATATGTATTTCTCCCATACGTACGCCTGGCTACACCTGGCAATGGAAGCAGTAAGGGGAGTGAGTGACTGTGTTTGTCTGCCATTGTAACTCTCCTCGCTCCCTGCAATATTTCACTGGATTTACTGTTATTATTAGTGTTTACTGATAGAATAGTGATAAATCATGGTAGTATTACACCACAATTACCAACATCCTTCATGTTGGGCTGGCTAGATGGCTACAAAAGAAATTTTGTAAGTTTGATCTAAAGTATGTATCAACCCAGTTGGCACTCAGATGCCATTCGTTCTAGAGAAAGTAATTTTTATGAGAAAAAATTGCAGTATGGCAACCAAACCAATCCAACTTTAATAACAAAGCACGGAGTTGACTTGAGGGTAGACTCTCACATTTTTTTCTACATTTCGATACATTTTGTTGTCTTGTTTTTTATTATTTGTGAGATGATTTTCCCATATAATAAAAAAGTTAGTATATTATTTCTTACCTTGAGAGCCCTACTGTCCTGCACAAAGCTCAGTCTTTTCCCTTGACCTTCACCATCATCACGAACCAGTTCAAATTTCCAGAACTTGACCATTTTATCACTGCCACCAGTCACAAAGCCACGCTGAAAGGTAATTTGAAACTTATCATTCCCTAAATTCACTATAAATATACAGCACTGTATTCTTCTAAGTTAAAACAAGTAATCATCACATCTGCAGTGAATTAAAATTCCTACTTTTACTAGTGTAATTGGTGCTCTTACTTCATTACATATTTGTTGAGGCCTCTTGTTACCTCATTTCTTTATTCTGAGTGTTTCAGCAGTGATTGTGTGAAACTTTCCCAGGCAATTAGAACTAAGTGAGCATGCAAACAATGCTCCAAGTCACAAAAGAGCTACAAAAAATAAGAAAGAAGCTTTTATTCAGGTCAAATGAAAGTGTTTACAAAATCTAATAAGCTGCACATATGTAATATTATGGATTTATATTCCTCATTATAGAGTGCAGGGTACTGTATATGTACCCAATATATAGCATCTACACATCTACAGTCTTAATTTTCTTTAACCAAATAATAATGAAACTAATTTAATACATTAGGTTCTCTTTGCCTACATGCTATGGATGGGCAGCAGCCTGATGAATCACAATTATCTAGTTTGCTGTGTACAATACAGTATTTGCAGCCCCTGGGTTACGGAAGTGCTCCGTTCTTGAAAATCTTTCCGTAACACAAAACCATTTTTCCCATTGGCTGAGCAGTTGTTTCAAGAATATAAAGGATTCATTCGTCCAAAATTGGAGTACTGCTCTCATATCTGGGGTGGCTCTTCTTCTGTTCAACTGTTAGACAGGGTGGAATCAAAGGCATTTTGTCTTATTAACTCTCCTCCTTTAGTTAATAATCTCTCTTCCCTTTCTCTTCATCACAATGTTGCTTCACTCTCTCTCTTTTACAGGTACTTTAACGGGCAATGTTCGGTGGATTTGGCATCCTGTGTACCACCAGCATGGCCATGGGCTCGTAACACTCGTCTTGCCCGCGGTGCCCACCGTTTCTGTGTGGATGTCGGTCACACTAGAATAGCCTGTTATAGTACATCCTTCTTTCCTCAAACAGCCAAACTGTGGAATGCTCTGCCTTCTTCTGTGTTTCCATACTCATACAATGTCTCACTTCAAAAAGCTGTTTTTCTGGCATCTTCGTGGTACTGTATAGATTAATAGTATTTTTACTCTTATTTTTTTGCCCCCAAGGCCCCATTGTGGGTCGATGACCTGTGCCCGGGTGGGCTATTCCCCGAAAAAAATAAATAAATAAATAAAAAATGCTGCCAAATTTAATGGTTTCAAAAGTAAATTGTGAAGGTTTTGTTACTTGTAACTTGGGAATAAGAAGCTCTATGGAATAACCTTATTATTGACAAATCCACTGTTTCCAAGAGCAATTGGTCTACGAGGACTTCTTCCTGCAAGCAGTTATTTCCTAAATTTCAAATATAGTGAAAATAATGACTCGATAGAAAATTTAATTATAAAAGCCCAGTCAATATTTTCTACTACATGACAAGAACAGCCTTTCCTGAAAAATGCACATCAATCCTAAACATGGAAAATAACACTTACCCCATCATGAGTGAGTGCAACTGACCACACGCCTGTGTCTGTGTCCATCTCATTGGGCTCATGGGCCATTATGTCCTCCAGCTGTGCAGACGATCCTAGATCAAACAGCTGAAGCCGACCTGATCGTGTACCAATCAGGGCATGACGGTCACCAGGTACAACAATGAGTGAGACAGCATAGTCACAGAGGACCGTAGTTATAGCTTGTGTGTCTCCTCTGTGTAGAAAATCACCAAGCACAAAATTTTAAAATCACTATGTACACAAGTCTCTCAAAAATGAATTCTACATATCCTCAAAGTAGCTATTTGAGTCCTCAATGACAAGCAAATTATTTCTTGCCATTTGAGTTTAAAGGACACAAGAGTGCAGATCTCCTTAGGGTTGAATTAGATACTTTAATTGGAAGTTCCAGCAATTTGAAAATTTGCACTGAGGAGAACCTTAAGTTTTCCACCATCTACTGTTATCCTTATTTTGCTGGGGTTTGAATCATAAGAGATAATCTGTGGAAAAAGGCTTGGTAGACTGGAGAAGTTTATTTACCCATTTATCATTAAATTTCTTTAAAAAAATTTGCTTTTGTCTGTTAAGCTTTGCAGCACAGTTAACAACAGAGATAGATTCATGCACAAAATTATTTGAATCTCATGAACTTTGAGACTTTCTCTGCTACAATTTTCTTACAACTTTATTCCTAATCTATTTTCTGAAAAATTTGTTTCGTATCAACTTTTATCAAAATGGTAATCTGAAATTAATAACACATATTTTCTATGGAACATTAAAACAATTGTTTATAATGATGAAAATAGTTTAAAGCAGATTCTATAACTGAATACCCGGTATGAAAACAACAATATTAGAGAATTGACTCACCTATGCCACACTTTTAGGGAATCAGCACTCGCAGTAACAAGTTGATCACTGAGAGAGTTGAATGCTACAGCCCTCACTTCTGTCCTGTGACCTGGACGATCTAATAGACTCAGCTGTTTATGTTGAATCTGTCAACAGAAAAATTATATTGATTCACAAAATCCCACTTTATGATAGCCTGATTCAAGACCATGGACTTGCCGGTAAGCAACCTGTACAATATTGTATTATCACTATTATGAGACAATAAAAGGATACAGGGAGTCAGCATTATTTGTATACCCACTACTCATATACTGTACTGGACTAGCTTATACCTTTGAGACACCCTACCTATATTATACTTGATTGACTCTAGGTATTTGGAAAAATCTACTAATATAAAAATTGCGGTCTTAATTTTTTTTACTTCAATAACCAATCTTTGCATATAAAACACATGACATGAGTTTACCATACAGCATATCTACAAAGACACTGCAGCTTAGTATAATATGGGTACATGTACTGATTTATACAGTAGTCAAAACCTTACACATTATAACATGGGACTACAATAAAGTCATGCATATACTGTATATAAATACATTCAAAACACTGATAAAACTATCATATATTTACATGAACAAAATACATCTTACAATATTTGAAGTCCCTTTATTCTTATCCAGTGTTTGGCCTTTATCTTCTTTAGCATCAAGATAGGATTCATATACTGCCAGAGTATTATCTATATGAAGTGTTACCATCTTTATGGTCCCCAATCTCTCAGATAGTATATCCAGACCTAGCAACTTATTAGCTGCTCTCAGTGTTGGTAGTTTCTTAATTTCATCAGTAAGTTGTGTTGTTTCACTTCCTATAACAGCACTGCCAGACTCTCTGTTGAAAACAAATATTTCTTAGATTAATACTGTATAGGGTTTTCATTTACAATGTGCAGATGCAACATTGCAAATATTACCTTCAATATAGAGTACAAGCATTCCCCAATTTACAAAAGGATTCTCTTCTCCCTTCAACAAAATTTCATAAATTGATTATTTTGTAAATCAGATCACATTTTCCACTGACTCCCATTATAAAAGACAAGACATATTCATAAAAAACAAACTTAAAATACCACAAAACCTATTTTAATGAGAATTCATGAATACAGTGATTATGAGCCAATAATAAAAATAGGAAGTGAAATGCATGCAGTGGAGGCCATGGAAGTTGGTGACAAACTGCACCCAACCAAGACATAGGGTTTTATTTCATAGTAATGTACCAAAATTAAATCTACTGCACTGTACATACATATATTTTGAGGTGCTTTGATTTCAATGGATTTTAATTTTTATAAAGAAGAAATGATAAACTTATCCATTTAACATTACATTCTTTCCATTGACATCAGATTAAACTCTGGGTTACTACACACATGAACATTCCCATACCCACACTGGAAATATCTTGAGTCAGAGTCTTCCCAAAGCTTCATGTAGCATTACCATGAGCCATGATAACTAAAACACCATTAGTTAAGTTAACCACTCTTAATACAGTAAATTACAATACACTACTTATGTTGTTTTTAGTTTAATTTTCTTTATAAACTAACCAGGACAGTTAAAGAAAGTCCTGAAATACCTTTGTCAGTATCTCAGTATCTTCCACAGCTGGTAAAAAATTATGAACAAAAATTTAACTTCTGATTTTTCTTACATAAATTGAAACATGGAACAAAATTTTTTGGTAACTTGGAATTTTGGGTAAACCAGATCTTCATAAATCATGGACTGGCTATGCAGTATACAAAATAATTGTTACGGTATTATTATATCATCAAAATGCCCAAAAACTTTTATGTCAATGGGATCTAGCTTATAAATAAATACTAAACTATATACACACACATGTGCACACACACACATAGTGACATGTAACTGTATAAACAATTACTAATATCTATCAACTCTATCTATCTACTACCCTTAGTTACAAAGTTCTAGTAAATGTTAGAGAACACTGTATGTCTACTCTCAGAAGCAAAACTTTATTTTTATAATAAACTCCTTTAGTTCCTTACCTTGCTCTTTTTCTTGCTTTTTTTAATCTTTTTGAAACTTTTGCTTCTACTTCTTCTTCTGTTAAAATAATAAAAAGGTCCACAACTGGAGTCTTGCCATGACAAGCCACCACACGACCATCAGTGAGTAAGCCACACACTCGGTCTCCTCGAGAGCGAAGTACACTGCCTAATTTTACAATTTCCAAAATACTCTGTGAAAATTAAGCAAAAAACATTATAATAAATATTATTTAAGCTTATATATACAGTACAATACTGTAATTAGGTTTAGTCAGTGTCACAAAGTCATTTAAAAAAAAAGTACAGTAGTTTAAAAGTCATACACTTACAGCATCATCATCATCTATTTGGTCATCCTGATCTACACCTGAGGCAGCATGAGTCCCTTCAGTGTCAATATGAAACATCTTATTTGGAGGCTCATCTATTTTCTCTTCATCTCTGTCCTTTTTAACTTTATTGTCTGAAAGAAGAAAGAAAACATAACAAACTGAGGGATCATAACAGAAATACCATTTTAAAACAAGCATGGATTAGGGATCTTGTATACACCGAACCTTCACTAATTTGATATTTCAGGCTTATGTGATATTTTTTAACAATAGTTGTCTTCAATCAACTTAATGTTACAGGATTCTTACAGCCGTACCTCCCAAAAATAAAATTCAAGCAGAAACACTTGAAATTGATAAAGAAAACATGATATACAGTACTGGTACATACAGATATATAGTACAGAGGATAGGTACATTGAAAAGTGTGCATTTAACCTCCTTCTCACAGCCATGCATCAACTAACCACCCCTACCACCACCAACACCCTACATCAGCTAGCCAACATGTCCATCTACCACAGTACACCCATTTTTACCTTATTTTATGTTATAATAATAAGCAGTACAGTAATAACTGTAGTAATGCATAAATGAATTATTTAAGTTGTAGAAATGAATGATTTATTGAGAAGCTTGTGTTATATTCTCTTTCTGAAGGCTGACCAAGTGCTTCACCAAACTCATGTCCTTCATTAATGTCTAATTCTACTTCTAAAATAACAATATTCGCTTTCCTTAAAATGTGTGTTTGGCAAAGCACTCGCAGGTTTTTCTTGTACACATTATACACAATTTAAGATTTCTAAAGAATTTCTTTGGATGCAGTTGCCAGCAGTTATTTTTGCAGGTTATTTGATTGTTACTGAAATACCCTCACATATTTTTCTTGTTTAAAAAAAAAAAAAAAAGTTGAAATTTATCTTCTCAACTCCAGTACAGTATACAGTACAGGACATATAAACAATTGTCACTCAAGCAAGGCAAGACAGCTGACAGTCAATGTATGCCTTTGTGCCTAACATAATGAAAACCAATTAATGCTTTTTCTTATCTTAATATTATTATATAATGATGTATTGGATGTAAAATTAATTGTGTAACTAAATAAAAAATTAAGAAAATTACATATACAGGTATCTACCCAAAATTAAATAGTTAAAAAATAACAGCGCTCGGCCCAGGAATTATCTGTAAAGTCAGAAATCTGTAAACCCAGGGAGCGTCTGCAATGGAAAAAGACAGCAATATTTAAAGAATAATTTGGTGTAACTACTGTACCTGTATCAGTGAACCGCAGGGACCACACCCGAAGTTCTGCATCACTGCTCCCCGATACTAGTCTTGTATCATTCTTCAGCAGCACAAAGTCCCATACCTTTGGTAAGAAATAATATTACGTACAGTACTTCTAAAACACTGTCAACTTATTCATAATATCATCTCCTTCAAGGTTAAACAGGGGACTATTCAATTATACAGGACACCATTGTATGCTTGATATCAAATTCTTCAAAACATCCTCCATTCTTGGAACAATGGTGGACTGCAAGAATTTTGTCAGCCTTCAGCCTGATGCTGTGAATTGAACTTTCACTTACCCTGTTTCAGTGTGCCACAACTGATGCAATGGTCAAGTTCTTTCAAAATTTTAACTTTCTCTTCTATATTAATGTCTTTCTCTTTTTTTTTCTCACTTTATCCGGAAAGAAATGCAGCTGCTGAGAATTTAGACATCTTGGTAAGTGGTGCATATGATAAAATCAAGGAGAAATGAAAGAGTAAAAGCAAGCATCTTTGACTTTGAGTGAGTACTAGCTGAGTGACACTGACTGCAGCTGGGGATATGCACGTAAGCAGTAATTGAATTGGTTTGGCAAAACATTTGCAATTTAAAGGAAAATGATATTAAATTAGCTAGCTGCTAAATACAAAATCTTACAAAAAAATCGTGAAATACCCTGAGGCTACTGTGCATCAACAGAGAAGTACCAAAACCTACCCTCATTATCTGAAGTTCTGAACCTCTCTAAATATGTAGGGGAAGAGAGAAACACTGCTCTGAAACAAGTACTGTACAGAGATATCTTCGTTAGCCGGAACAATTGGTGCAGAGCACTTCCGGGAATGAGAAATTTCCGGGAAACAAGACGACTCTCTCAAAGCCAAAAAATCCCTCATCCCAGGAATTTTCTGGTTAACGGAAAAATGTTCTTGGAAGTTCCCGAAATTGCACATTATAAAACATCTCTCGAACCCAGAAAAACATCCCCCATCCCTGGAATTTTCCAGATACAGTACCAGAAAAACTTTCTCAGGATTCCAGAAAATGCACCTGATTTTCATCTCTCAAACCCTGAAAAAATCCCCCATGCCGGGAATTTTCCGGGTACTGGGAAAGATTTTCTGAGAAAATTTTAATTCCGACTATTGGAGAGTTCCCGTTAAGAGGGATTCTGGCTAACGGAGATATTACAGTATATTCTAATCACCAATGACCCTCTGAAAGAGAGACCTATGAGTTAATGAAGCCCTCCTTGCCTCTCTCTTGTATCTGGGATTAACAGAAGGATTAACACTGTAAAGCCCAATGCTAGTATCTTTGCTTGAAGCTCTGATACTCTAGAGATGTCAGAGAAGAGGGAAACTTTGCTCTGATATGAGCAGCTCTAATCACCAATGCTCCCCCAAAATTAAGATAATCAAACCCAGCTTGATACACTAACCATACCTCCCCTAAAGAAGAGGAAGTCAACTTTCAGTTAATGAGAATTCCATAATGCTAAAGAATTGGCAAAAGCTGTATTAGAATAGTAAGTTTCCACCCTTAAAGTTGAAATTCACAGTGGATTCACCATACTAATAACTATGGAAGTGCTTCCAAAGGATTCATATTACCTGTCCGTTAAACATAATAGTCTTTGAGCTGCAACCCCATAATGTTCAATGCATAGAAGATGGTATGATTGTCAAGCATCTTAGCATACTTATATTTTGACTATTCATTGAAAAATAATGAAAAAAAATTGAAAATATTAAAAGAACCTCTCCTTTGTTTCATGGGATATAAATTTCTTCTGTGTTTGGGTACTTTCTGAGTTCCCCTTGTCACCTTGAACACAAATGAACCACTGTTTCCATGGCAGTTTTATTCTGCTTGCTTGATGGAGGTTGGCAGATATTGATCTGCTACAACGTTCACACGAGCTGACTTGCCAGCATACTCCATGGCTTTCTTCAGAATTACAACAGTAAGATCTTCGAAAGAGTCCGGTAACTACAAAAGATCTTGTAGTTGAGCCATCAAGGCTATGATCCATGTGCAGCCTTCTGGTAATCCACCTACAAAATCAACCCCATCCTCCATTATCTCTTGGAGATAATTTTTCATGGTATAAGCTACTGTCTCATCTGTATTTGCAAGTGACCATGGAAAAGGACCAAGGCAGTGTTTAAGTAGTTCATTGAGGTTATGAGTATTAAATCATTACTGTAACATGACATCCTATTTTTCAGAAGAAAATATGATTTATATTTACTTTTAATAATTACTGTACATACAGTATAAAACTCCTTCAACACCATACATACATAAATCATTTAAAAGACCAATAACCTTATACTGTACATGCATGAATCTTCATAATGACTTGACACAGTTGACAAAATAGCTCTTGCATTAGATTTCACTCACCTCAGCACGATGACCTGTGAGAGTTCTAAAACAATGATTGACGTCTACATCCCAAAACTTGATGAATGAATCCCGACATGATGACACAATTACATTATGGTTCAGAAGGAAACGAAGCCGGGTTATCTTTCCTTTGTGCCCCTTCAAACGAACCATTCCACGTTCAGAAACCTGAAAAGTTTTGAATAATAAGCAAAATTTAAAGTCTCAAATACACACCCACTTTAAATGTGGAAAAAGATTAAATAATGATGATGATGATGATACATAGGATATGAACTCAGAAATCTGGAACTCTTGGAACAAAAGGCACCTCAAATTTGTAAATTTTCCATTTTTCTTAATAAGGTTACTTTCTTATGCCCCCCGCCATATGAAACAACTAAGTTAGGGAGAACTCATTGTTTACCATCCTGCCGTTTGAGACTGTTGTTTGCCTTCTGTGGTTTACTGTTATCCCTTGTTTACCAATAATTTTGCTTAACATTAGGTTTTTTCAGGAATACAACAGGTAAACGGAAGGTAAAAGGGTTGTGGGAACCGGTGCACTATACAGTACTATACTTGCACCATGCACATCTACTGTATAACTCCACAGAGAAGCCACTACAGGGATACTCCTCTCTTCAAAAGCTCTCTACTTCATTTCTTAACAAAAGCTCTACTAATTGGACATGAGACAATAAGTTTCAACTAACCACATCCCAGATGACAATTTCACCATCATTACTGCCAGAAGCCACTCTCATACCCTGTGGATCCCACGACAAGGCTGACACTGCACTACGATGCCCTGGAAGAAACATTAAAACATATACAGTGGGGTATGTTATAACGAATTTAATTGGTTCTAAAACCTTGTTCGTTATAGCATTCGTTCGTTATAGGATTAATTCATTCCAGGCCCCCAAATAAACCACTTAACACTGAAAAATATAATATAAAATTGTAAAAATTGTAAAAAAGTGCATAAATATGCATCTAAACCCCAGAAATAAAGAATATCATTAATACTTGTAATAAAAATCTATAAATTAAAAAAAAAAAAAAATGTTGTAGAGTTTCGTTCGTTATAGGAATATTCGTTGTAGAATCCATTCGTTATAGCATACCCCACTGTACAGTACAGTATATATACCTGTGCTGTATATGATAAATAAAAACAGAACCCTCTATTTTTTTTAATTTAAGAAAATGGGAAGCATTATTTAGTTGGACTAGAAAACAATGGAAATGTATCAGAGATGTTATATTGTATTAATGGTCAGTTATGAAAGTTCATACTGATAAAACGACTGGATGCAAGATCTGTTCTTCAATTATCACATACCAGTACATCTTCCAGCATACAAAACCTAGCCTGAGGCCTGATGCGGAGAATATAATACCTATCCCTAAATTTGTGGTCCTTTTTTATCCAAGGTACTAACTATTCCACTAACTTCAGAGAATAATACCTGTGCTCTGAACATTCAATTTAACCTATAGTATATATAATTATTTCAAAGTAAGGTATTAGTGAAAACAAGATAATTCAATTTTTTAGGTAGAATATTCAAACTATTACCATTAAACTTCAGTGGCTGGCCAACCCTTAGGTCAAACACAGCAACAGATCCATCAGAGTAACCCACAGCAATATGTGTGTTGTCTAAGGATCCAGAGGAAGGTGGACGGGGTTCCACCACTGTCACACTTGCACACACTCCAGCATCCAAAGTTAAAACCTGTTGAGTAAGATAAAAGGTGAAAAACAGTAATTTTGTATCCCGTATAACAATTCTATAAAAAATGTAAGAATGTTAAACTTTTCTGAGAAAAGTGGAGGGAATCAGTGCATGAGGACATGTCATAGCTGGAGACACATACAACATCAAAGAGGAGATGCACAACACTTGTCTCCATACAATCAGAATTCACTTACTCCTCCTGTTGTCTTTTCCAGTCTCCCCACATAAATATTAAAAAATTTCACAACATACCCACATAAAAAATACAGTGTGTGTTTGTGTGAGTGTGCACATGTAAAATACTGTATTTACTCTATACAGGTGCTCCTCTACTTACGAACGAGTTACGTTCCTGAGGCTTGTTTGTAAGTCAAACTTTACTCTTGTAGGTATTGGAAAAAATGAAAAGATTATGGATATTTAGTACAGCTATACCCTTTAATACAGCCTTAAAACCTGGCTCACTCTTCTCCTCTTTCGTAATGTTTGTTCTATCTGGAATAATCTTCAAAGTAATCCAGTCTCATCCACATTAAACACCATAAATAAATACAATAATGAAAAAAGAAGAAGATAAAGAATGAGAAACAATACAGTATGTATGTTGTGTTGTCAATAGTAAGAGAAGCAATTGAGACCCTTCAATTGTGTGTAAATGAGGTACAAAGTCAGATCAGCAACCTGGGACTTGGTCACATATGGCAGCAGGGTCTACCATTAGACAACACATTATGCTTCCAATATCTTCTCATTATTCTATTTTACTAGACTAAAAAATTCTTTCTTATTAAATAACAAAGCAAGTTTAATAAAGCCTTATTACTGTATGTGCACATATAAACCAGTAAGAACTGTATTAGTGATATATTTTATTTAAGATGGAGCAAGGTGAGTGACATCCTTGCTGTAACACTGTGAACAGGACCATTATGACTGTTGGGATTCAATAGGCTTCAGCTTGTTGGCAGAGATGCCGCCTACATTATCTTGGTAAATGTCTTTCTTTTTGTAACTGTTAACCCGGATTCTAAACATTTCTATACTGTATAGACTGCCAAAGTTTTTTATATTTATCAAAGAAAACAAAGGCGTACATAAATTAAGAAAACACGAAATACGAATTTATGAAAGCAGGCAGTAACAAAACAGCTGATTGCAGCAGGTTCAGCCATAGTTTTTCTTTTTAAATATCTCATTGCTTACTAAAAGGCAATGCAATTTCAATGAAGCCTTATTTATGCATGGAAATATGATTTTCCATAACTATGGCAAAATAAATTCTGTTGAAGTTTCCAGTTACCCGTGAAATCACTAATTAGAGGTAAACTGGAAGCAACATTCATAAATGTTTAAGGGTTAAGTTTTCAAACCCAATTGGTCGTTTCTCCATTTATTAAGAAAATAAACTATTGCACAATTACTAGGATATCACCGTAATTAATGCTGTGAGTTGTGAGTGAAAATAAGGGATGAAGCATATGTGTAATTAGCTTTGTAGGCCCACGTCTAGTGACCGTAAGGGATGGGAACAAATAGGTCAAGGGTCGACTTCTTTATTCATGACTTTGCAGTCAAGAGACAAGAATTCAGTGAAAATATACTGTCACATGTCCAATGGATGACTACTCACAGCTCATAGGAAAATTACCGTGGGTGATGTAATTATATAAACCTAATGAATATAACCCACACTTAGCCCCTGTCTAACACATTGTCATTAAAAAAAAATGTATACAGTACAGTACCATGAATTTATGAAATACTGTATATTACTTGCTTAAAAAGCTGTGTTTACAGGAAATATTAGTGTTTAACAGTTTAGCACATCAGCTCAGTGTGTTGTTTTCTTTCGTCCTGTAAACATTGTCACCGAGACTTTTGTGAATTTTATCGACAATAACTACATGTTGCATTGCCAATTCTATGTCAGGCTAACATTAAGAAAGAAGTGCAAGTACAGTACTGTACTGAGTTCCCATAATTAAGTTAAGTTGAATTTCTACTGTACTGTATAATATTTATTACCATATAAGATGTGTATTTTGGTGGTCAGGAATGATATGAAATTCTTAATGCTGGGATGGATCTTGTGCAAATTAGTCCGGCATACAAACATTAGCAACACAGTATATTAATTATCCCTCTTTACCATGACATATAACACATATGTAAAACAGGTTTCCTTTCCACATCATAAGCCTTGCACTGCTAAGAATCATTATAGCTATAGTAATTATTAATAACAGTAGAAGGCAGAGACTGGGATGGATGAATGAAATTAAAAACTGGGTCCCCAGAGAGATACAAAACCTTAGAGGATTGGTAAAAACAGCCCAAGAACATTTAGAGCAGAGAACTGTGGTCATCAACCCACAAATATGTGGACAGTACTCTGATTGATTGATTGACCTAAGTCTTAAAATAAATGATAAAAGCAATATTAATATACTGTACCAGTAGTACATCAAGCATCAAATGTACAGTACAGTGTATAAATTTGTTAGTACAGTACAGCACAGTATTTCAATACAGGTTGTACCTCTCTAGTCCGGCATTCTGTGGTCCGGAAACTCCCGTGGTCCGGAACGATTTTAGTTTGTCCAATAGGTAGATAGGCAGCTACTATATTTATTTATTTTTATTTTTTAACTTATCTGAATTATTATTATTATTATTACAGAAGAATTAAATTTTCGCCCCTCAGGCCCCAATTTGGGTCAGTGGCCTATGCCCGGGTGGGCTGATCCCCTAAAAAAACAACAAAGCCGTGGGAAATTAAGGTTTGTTTACATCCGGCAGTTCGGCTGCTCTCTCTCTCTCTCTCTCTGCTTGTCTATACAGAGTACAACATTTAACCCTTCAATTTATATGAGCAGTAAATAAGTGTTGCTTTCATATTCTTATGTAGAGTAATAACGATATGTTTTCACATGTGCACACTTACATACGCGACCTCTTTTTTCTTTACCATTATCGTTAGCTACTTCTATTGTTCCATTTATTAATATTAAATAACATTACTTAAAACAACCATATTAATTTTACTACAGCTACAACCAGGGTCTTATTTTCTTCAGTTTTATATGTAGAACCAGTTAGTCACTGGTTTTGTACCAAAACAATGCTGTCTTCTCCTCGTGTGTTTTAATCCACGTATTATTAAAAATTGTATTGTTCATTTTGCACACAAACATTAATTCAATAAAAAAAATTCAGAAACATTAATTAAAATTATATGAGCAGTAAATAAGTGTTGCTTTCATATTCTTATGTAGAGTAATAACGATATGTTTTCACATGTGCACACTTACATACGCGACCTCTTTTTTCTTTACCATTATCGTTAGCTACTTCTATTGTTCCATTTATTAATATTAAATAACATTACTTAAAACAACCATATTAATTTTACTACAGCTACAACCAGGGTCTTATTTTCTTCAGTTTTATATGTAGAACCAGTTAGTCACTGGTTTTGTAATCAACGAAAACAATGCTGTCTCATTTCCTCGTGTGTTTTAATATTCCACATATTATTAATGAATTGTATTGCTCATTTTGCACACATAAACATTAATTCAATCAAAAAGACATTCAGTTATAAACAATACTGAATCTTTTGTACATAAGAGAAATGACGATGTTTACACGATTGTGCACGTCGTCTGAACGTTGGTGGGCTATTCAAACCCGTCGAAATTCGAGTTTCCGCCGTCCAAATTTCTAAATGTGTTTTTTTTTTGTGTTCAAATAGAAAACGTTGAATTAAAAACTCGCGAAATTTGAGAAGCTACTGTACGACATTTAACCCTTCAATATGTCTTCAAAGAGACCATGAAGCAGAGAAAGTGGTGCTAGTGCTTCCAAGCCAAGTCACTATCTATCCAGGAAAAGGGTGAATTTCCATGGTCCGGCACCGGTCAGGTCCCGAGGTTGCCGGACTAGAGAGGTGCTACCTGTACAACATAAATAACAATATACAGTACTGAACTGTATGTCATTAGCAGTTTTGTTACCCAACAAAATAAAATATAAGACACATATTAATGTACCTTTATAGCTCTTCTGGTATCCCATATGAGGACATGTTGACAAGCAGGAACAGCAACATACTTGGCAGTCTGACTAAACCTGGTCACAAACCGAACACATCTGCTAGAACCAACCAATCCAAACACCGAGCCAGGCACATATCGTAGGTACTGAGTTGTTAAACCCATGATGATAAAAAATGTTTCACCTTGAAGTTTAGTCTACCTGAAAAAATTTTAACACAAAATTATATAAAATCACAGAGTATATATTCATAAAGGATTAAAACAGGATACAAATGAAATAAATCTGAACATCAGTCATTCAAAAACTTCAAAACTCCATAAAAAAATTTGAGTGGTGGCATTTTTAACAATGGTATTTTACATTATGTGGTACACTAACACTAGTTCGTTGAGCCACTGAGTGAAGGCCTTGTTGTGATTCGAACGAATCTGACCTTAATTTCTGGTGCGAGCCGTCCTAACCTAATCTAACCTAACACAACAACCCACTGAGTGAAGGCCTTGTTGTGATTCGAACGAATCTGACCTTAATTTCTGGTGCGAGCCGTCCTAACCTAATCTAACCTAACCAAAACCTGGTTACTATCCAAAATTAACTAGATAATTTTACCATGCTTTTTATGGTAAATTTGCTTAAGTGAACCAAACTCTGTTAGAAAGTAAAAAATATGTTTTTCTAGTGTATTTATTTGTGTTTACATTGGTTAGGACTTTCATTTCCGTTGTAAATGTGCCAATTTTTTTTTTTATTTTTTTGGGGGGCATTTTCCGACAAAAAATATGGCTAAGCGAACACAAATACAAAAAAAAAAACACTAGAAAAACATAAACCTAACCTGACCTGACCTAACTGACTCTCACCATATGATGGAATAACCTATTTCTTACCTTAGATAGGTCACTATCCTCTAACTACCATCCAATCAGTCTAACACCAATTGTAGGCAAATTACTGGAAGCAATCATTTCAAACTCTATTTGAAATCATATGGAGAAGCACAAGTTGATCAATGATTCCCAGCATGACTTCACAAGCGGGCATTCATGTCTAACTAATCTATTAACATTCTTTTCATCAGTTTTCGAATCAGTGGACGAGGGGCACAATTATGATGTGGTATATCTCGACTTTAGCAAAGCCTTCGACAGAGTCCCCCACAAAAGACTAATAAGAAAGGTAGAGGCTCGTGGCATTAACGGTGATATTCTAAAATGGATTAGGGCGTGGTTACAGGACAGGAAACAGTGAGTGAGCATGAACGGCACTAAATCCCATTGGAGCAACGTCACTAGTGGAGTTCCCCAAGGCTCAGTACTTGGACCATTATTATTTAATATATACATAAACAACAAAGATATCGGCATAGACAGCAACATAAGTAAATTTGCTGATGACACTAAAATAGGACGTGTAATTAAATCTGACGAGAACTCCGCAAAACTACAGAAAGATCTAAACAAATTTTTCGAATGGTCTGAAAATTGGCAGATGAAGTTCAATGTGGACAAATGTAAAGTACTCAGTATAGGAGATGTAAACAGGGAAACCAGATACCAGATGAACAACAATGTTATTGAGAAATCCGACTGCGAGAGAGATTTAGGAGTAATGATAAGAAGGAATCTCAGGCCAAGTAAACAATGTGTTTTTGCTCAAAACTAGGCTAATAAAGTACTTGGGTTCAAACAAAGGAGTGTTAGTTGCAAGACTAGCGAAGTCATCTTAAGACTATACAGTATCTTGCGCTTGTGAGACCTCACTTGGATTACGCAGTTCAATTCTGGTCACCGTATTACAGAATGGATATAGAATCTTTGTAAAGAATTCAGAGGAGAATGACAAGACTAATCCCAGGCATTAGGAACCTTGAGTATAGAGACAGGTTAAAGCGTCTTAATTTGCACTCCCAGGAGCAGACGCGTAACAATGGTTTTAAATTAGACAAATTTAGATTTCAGCGTGAAATAGGTAAACACTGGTTTGGAAACAGAGTAGTGGATGAATGGAACAAGTTACCAAATATCATCATTAACTCGAATATGCTGGATAGCTTCAAACATAGGTTGGATGCTTATATGAGCAATAGGGGTTGGGTGTAAACGGGACTGCCCAGTATGGTCCAATAGGCCCGCTGCAGTTTCCTCCATTCTTATGTTCTTATTGTCCTGGTTCTCGTTCGTCGTTGGATTCTGAGATTAGTACAGGTTGCAGACGCTGATTCTCGCTTAACGGGGGTATAGAGACCCAAAATAAAAATCGAATTTGATTGGAACAAAAATATCGTGTGATGATTTATGAAGGAGACACGCAGTGTGAGAGGTGAGGTAGGTGATAATGGAGGGAGACTAATGGAAGAAAATAGATAAAATTTTGGATAAGCTATCTTATAATTTGATGTCTTATTCGATTATGATAAAAGATTAAGGGTAGGAATGTTGTGTGCGGAAATGCAATAATACCATTTTTATTTGAAAAGCAAAGTAACACCTCGGGCATCGGCCCCTAGAAGTTTATTGTTTTATTATTATTCCTATGGCGTATGGTATAAGGTCTCACCTGTCGTCGGATAACGTAGCACAGATTTAGTTAAAATGTATACATATGTATATATTTTTTCTCTCTAATGTATCCATTTCACAGGCACAGTTCGGCTTGTTACCAAATGCCAACAGACAGGTGAGGTGATCAGCTCCCCCCGGGTCACAGGTCCACGTGCTGGTGTTTACAGTCCTCAGTCACCTTAGTTACGGCTCACACAAGACATACTTCAAAGAGTCACATATACAGATATATTGTATAGACACATACATTGTTTTTTATATCTAAATATTATGTATATTTCCTTATTTCTAAGTAAAATGTTTTATCAATTTTTAAATTTTGAAGAAGGATTCAACTCGTAAATATTATGAGCATGATAGGTTTGGGCCGCGGGTCAGAGGAATAACCTGAAGGCTCCCAAGTAGAAGAGTAAAAGAAGTTAAAGAGTTAACATGCCCAAAAATCCCATATATGAGATATCAATATTATGTAAGTTAGTCACCAGACGTCCATTTTAACGAAGAGTCAAAAGATAGCTACGCGGTACTTCTAAGATGTATTCTCCAATAGAAATATAAGGATATGACTAGACTTTATCCTAATACAGCTTTTCCTACGGTATCTGCCAGGTTATATTGTTCTTATAAAGTTATAATTGTATACCAGATTATGTAATTTGTTCCTTTTTTCTACTACGTTACCCCATGACTATATTCACCTTCATTGGCGTTCATCTTTACTAGCGTTCATTTTTACAGGCGTTATCACTGATGGTTCATCGTTACTGGCTTTCATTTTCTTTGACGTTCATTGTTACCGGCGTTCATTTCCACTGGTGTTCATCTTTTGGCAATGATCTCCACTGGTGTTCGCACTCTTCACAACCGTTCACTCCTGGAGCCAGATTGGAAGACTATTATTATTATTATGATCACTTTGCTAGGAAGTGGGCAGTGAGAGTGTTGTTTGTTGTACCAGGCGAACAGGTAGAGTCAGTCTTTCTATAATGAGGCCAGGGGTGTTGTAGACTGCAGAATCGACTTGATGTATCCACCAAGATCAAGACGGTAATATATTAAACATAAAACCGCCAGTACCTCTCAACTGACCGCCCTGCAACACGTGACGTTGTGGGGTACGGGTTATTTGGTTCACACTCAGGATGGGATGGAGAAAGGAAACTCACAATGTGCTCTCTGTATACATGTTGTATTGGATGTACAATGCAGCTTGGTGCTGGGAAGGCAGCATGGTTACAAGTGTTGAGTAGAGAGAGCTGGTTGGTGAGGATGCTCAGAGGAGGACCAGCTTGTGGGTCGCCATGCTCGCCGGCGGGAGCGAGGGCCGCCAGGTAGGAGCGGAGGAGGTGGTGATACTTGATGCGGCTGTAGGTAGAAAGAGAGGTAGGTCACCACGAGGTCAGGTCTTATGTAGCGGAGGTAGGCGTGGCTTAATAGTTGACCTCCGTCATGTAAGGCGGCGCTGGTTGACCTAGACCACGAGGCATACACTGGGGAATTCGCGGGGTCGGCTACTCAGCGACAAACAGCGTTTGTAGGGGAGGAATCCACTACAATACTCCCCCTTCCCTCCAGGCGGTGTAGGAGACTTCTTGTCTGCAGGGTTGCATGGCACATGTGAGGCAGAACGGGCGGTGCATGCCACATGCGAGACATAACGGCGAGGGCGTGGATGAGCCGGCCGCTAGGGGAGACAACTGTCTAGACACACGAGATCTGTGGGAGAAGAGAGGGAGAAAAAGGGTGTGTAGGGGCAATGAATGCTGTGCTTCTGTAGCTGCAGGGGCAGCGTCCTCATGGTCACTGGCTGGAATGACTGGGTCAGGGGCGACGTCAAGAGGAGGGTCTATGATAGGAGCAGGTTCTACAACAGCAGCAGGGTCCACGACGGCAGCAGGGTGCAGGGCAGTAGCAGGGAGTGCCTGAGGGAAAAAAAATCGGTGTGTGGGGGCGATGAATGTTATGCTTCCTTCTTGGCAGGTACACAATCCTCAGATGCGCCTGCTGGGGTCGGTAGGACGTGGTGCTTGGGGCAGGAAGAGGAGCTAGTGTCTGCTTAGAGAAGCAGTGCTGCTCTAGGGTGCCTAACCTGCGGTGTAGAGACAGTAGCTGTAGAGCCGATGAGAGCTGCCTCTGTGTGGATAAGCCAGTCTTCCATGTTGCTTGAAGACTGGGAGAGTGATCGGTTTCTCCTCCATCCTGTGTGAGTGCGAATCTCCGGGGGTCACCATTTGTGGGGTTATGGGTAGTTTGGGTTCACTCTCAGGATGGGATGGAGAAAGGAAACTCACAATGTGCTCTCTGTATACATGTTGTATTGGATGTACTATGCAGCTTGGTGCTGGGAAGTGGCAGCGTGATTACAAGTGTGATGTACAGAGCTGGTTGGTGAGGATGCTCAGAGGAGGACAGCTTGTGGGTCGCCATGCTCGCCGGTGGGATCGAGGGCCGCCAGGCAGGAGCCGAGGTGGTGGTGTTGCTTGCTGGTTGGTGTAGGTAGAAAGAGAGGTAGGTCACCACGAGGTCAGGCTCTTATATAGCAGAGGTAGGCGTGGCTTAATAGTTGACCTCCGTCCTGTAAGGCGGCGCTGGTTGACCTAGACCACGAGGCATACACTGGGGAATTCGCGGGGTCGGCTACTCGGCTACAAACAGTGTTTGTAGGGGAGGAATCAACCACAACGTAAGTGTACTCGTAAACCGGTTGTTTCATTGTGTACGTGAGGAATATTAATTGAGCAACTTCTGATGATATGCAGCTTATATTGTGTTACTATTATGATGATGTGCTCATTTGTGTGCTAATACAGGTACTGTATTAAGAAAATGTATTCATATCTGATGTCACTGAACCATTAGTTCCCTCTTGTAAGTCGATTATTTGTATTTGACAGGTTTGACCGAAATAAATTGCATTGAGTTGATGTGGCAGGTTAATCTCCTTACTGGGCAATTATAATTACTGTTTATAGCAGCGGTTCCCAACCTTAGGTCGCGACCCAAAATCAGGGTCGCAGGGCGTCCTCAGTAGGGTCGCAAGGGGCCTTCAGACAATTAAAAAAATATAGTAATTATCATAAATCCAAAAAATTTTTTGCTTAACATTCAAGCTATACAATATATTATATGCCTAAGGGTCATGACACCGTATTGTTGGGAAATTTAGGGCCACAGCCAAAAAAGGTTGGGAACCACTGGACTTTATAGGTTAATGACATAAAAGCCTAGAGTAAAAGTTTCAACAATATATTTACTACAATGATAATAGCCCCTTTTATACAACTCCCTAGTTCTTTGAACCCTTCTTCCTCATTCTGTTTTACTTTCTCAATTTGTACAGTACAGTATATCAATCTCTTGGTGTTCCTTTCTTTATTCATTCTATTATGTTTTCTCTATCTAATTACCTCTCAGTACTCCTTCCCCTCTCCCTCTTACGTTCATTCTATTTTACCGTCTATCAATTTCTCTTGGTCTTCAAATCTTTTTTTCTATTCTCTCTCTTTTTCCCTATTCCTTCATTCATTCTTCTCACTAAACCCAAATTTATATTACCACCATCCTCTTCTCCCCACCATAGCATCAATTTACCCTAATCATCCCCTCTGTAAGTCCCCCTAAATATCACCTCCCTCACTAGCAAAAGTGAAGGGAGAGCAGCAGGGTGAGTGTGGTGTGGTTGGCCAGTAAACTTACTAGTGTAAGCGACACTCCAGTCATGGGGCGAGATACTCTTTGTAGTGCTCATTAAAAAGAAAAGAAGGGCAAGAGAGTGATACTTGCCAGAGTTAAGAAATTAAAAAAAGGGAGGAACAAAGGAGATTAAATGAGAAGTAAAATGAATGGCAAGTAAATGCACAAGAGAAGAAATATTGGTAGAAAGGTTGACACAGTTTTAAAAAGAGATCAAGATGTTCAGGAGGCTAAATGCAGTAGGGTGTGGAAACCTTTAGCACAAATACTGTAGATTTATGTATGTAAGTGCCTACTGTATATAAAAAAGAAGCACATACTAGATCTTGTTATTATTTCATTTATTTGTACGATTCATAAAACCTTGTAAAATTTCAATATTATTTCCAAGTTCACTAAGTTAAATTACTCATTCAAATCTTTTTAGTGTATATTTCCTAAAATGCAGGTACCATTCATCCCACTGTTTGAACACATGCACACTTAGGCAGTTTCAGAAGAAACCTACACTACAGTATTGTATAAAGTACCTTTTCAGACCACATGAGCCACGTGTTATTTCTTTCCATACAAGGCAGGTATGGACACAACAGCAATGTAGTAATATCCTTATGCCATCAATCAATTCTACACATGCTTGCTATTTTAGCCTTATAATCATTTTACCCATGTCCTTGGTATACAGTCAGTCCATTGTCCTTTGAAAATAGTTTTACTGCCCATTTACAGACTTTCTAAAAATAAAACAATAAGGCAAGATAAAACTACAGTACTGTACAGGTAAACCTCGATAAACGATGTCTCGTTCAGCAACATTCCGCTTTAACGATGGTCATGAATGAAGAAAATCTTGCCATGATAAAAAAATTTGTTTTACGATATCCACTGAATATCCATCGATATGCATTGGTTGGAAAGTTTTTTTTCTCTAGTGCAAACTATGGGTTGTATATACTCATTAATCGCTGTCTTGCAAGAATTCCAGCAATGCAAATTATATTTTTCTATGTCAAGTCAGTGACATTTTATAAGGAAACAATATTTAACCCTATGCACCATCACAGGTAATGCATCTCTGGCTGCACTTGTCAGCTGCAGTAATATCTACCTGCACACCACCACCACGGCCAACCTGCGCACTATTTCTGTGCTTGGTACTTTGTCAATCGCATCTCCTCGCCATCGCGTAGCTCCACGATTATCATTAAGCATCGTTGGCTGTATATACAATGTACTTATTGTTTTTCTTTCTAATATTGAGGGGACAGCACTAACATTTAGATTGAACTGTGTTGTGGTGACTGTGAAGTGATATATTTTTTTTTTTTTGTGACTTAAGTGTTTTGCCTCTGTTGTTGTGAAATTGATGTGAGCAGTGTCGGCCGCTATCATTGGTTTTACATCATTAGCGTTTGTTGTTTTTGTGAAAAATGGTTTTGCTCTGTTTTTGTGACTAAGAAGTGAGCAGTGTAACTTTGAAAATGTCTGGGAAGGCCCAAGGCATCCATGACAACCGCATCTCTGAGGTGAAGCCTGACAATTGTGAAGCGGCAGGAGACTCCCCAGAGGCTGTGTGGTAGTCAGAGTGATGACTCTGCTCCACCTACAAGAGTGCACTTAGCCTCAAATGGGCCATATGATGATGACCAGGCTTATTCTTCATTATGTGGGGAGTGTTGTTAAATTGATTTCTATTGATTTTATAAGTGTAGGATTTTTTGGTGTGTGTGTGTGTGTGTGATTCGTGTGTTTGGGGACTGGCTGGGAACATATCTAATTGAACCCTGTGTTATAATGCTCCCTATCTACGATATTTCACTTACCGATGGGTTTTTCAGGAACCTACCCCCACCGTTTATAAAGGCTTACCTGTACTGTCCAGTACTAGTGAGCAGATATTTGATGACAGACATGTCTACAAGCTAAAGCTTCTCAAGAACTGGCCAATAAAAATGTCCAATTTTTAAATTACTTCTCGTTTGTCTCTAGCAAAGTTGCCAGTATTACCATAAATTGAAAGATAATTACATTCTGGTGAAAATTATATGTAAAAACAATTTTAAATTTTTACTTTGAACATAAATAGAGGTTATTGGATGGACACAGAGATACAGTCCAACTTAAGAACTAGAGGGAAAATTGATTGAAAGTATTATGTTACACTTTTCTATGTGCCCAACCAATTATTTGGACTAATTATTGTATTTTTTATACATTGTATAAACCACAGACATACCCAAGGGTGGTGGGTTCACTAATTTTTTATTCAAATTTAAGCCTATCTAACTTTTAAACACAATTCAATTATTTTGCTTAATAAATTCTCCATCTTTTTCAGTTCCTGCATCTATGTTCCCTCCATCTTCTACCTTAGGTATGCCCATGATTTTTTTCCCTCAAAAATTACAAGACAACTCTAAGAAAGCGTAGAAGCCCTCTTTTTACACTTTCAAATTTAGTTGGTAACCTACTGAGATATTCATCATTCCTCAAATTGTACTTGCACAAATGATAAAAGGACTTTAATATAAGAGAATTCACCTGTGTGAAGGATGCACATAGACTGTTGTATCACAAATGGCAACATACTGAAATGAAACATGTACACCCCAACACTGGAGAATTATCAAATTCCATGATCATTATGAACAAAAATTATTTGAGTTGGACAATCTGCTCAAACTGGAATAAAAGTGCCAGTTAATCCGTTGTCCACATGTAACACCCAAACGCATGTTACTATCAGCAAAACTGTGATAATTCACCACCTGTTTGGAGTGATACACACACAAGACAAAAATTAATAGCCTCATGTGTTCTCCATCAGTTTAGCTACAACAAGCCTGTTCCACATCACATTATCCTCTAATAACATATACTGACTTAAAAAGAAAACAACAAATAAAATTATATCTTAGTGGCCTTAAATGTAGGTTTCTATCAATAATTTTCAGTAATACACAAATGACTTATACACAAAGGAGCTATGTTTTGCAAGGTAAGAAACAACCACAATAACATGTACCGGGTAGATGCTTGATAGTTAAACTTACACTAAATGCCTAGAAACATGTTCAGAAAATCCAAAAATGTTTCAGTCCAAATACAATCAGTATCAATTGATAAATGTCTATAACCTGACCAAAACATTATTCATATTTTCACAAAAGTCTTTATATCAGTATTTGTCAATGCTTTCACTTGCTAAATTAGTCAACCCATGTCTACTGGCACTAAAATGCACCTCGACAAAAGGTTAAACAATAAAACTGGTAAGAATGCACAGGACCACTTAAAAATTTCCACTTCTGAGATAAATTAATTTGTTTCAGGTCAACTGATTTCAGAAAAATCAGTGTGAATGTATATCCGATGCTAAATCAAGCATAAGAGTGTCACACTTTCCTGCATCAAGAAAGACTTATGGCTGCACTGTATTAGCTGCACTGTATTAGCTCCCTCACTAACTGGTAAGACTAATATATTATACAACATAATATCTCAAATAAACAGATCTACTTTGAAGCAACACCCACATAACAACAAAGGTCCTAAGTGATATATATATATATATATGTATATATATATATATATATATATATATATATATATATATATATATATATATATATATATATATATATATATATATATATATATATATATATATATATATATATATATATATATATAGTATATAACTAATTTAATTTTTTTTTTTTCATGATAAGAGGGGGTGAACATGAAACAGATCTCACAGGCAATACACTCATGAGAGGTTTTAGGGAGATAAATTTCAACCAAATATTACAGCTTCTTGGAATAAGAGATGGGTTCCTCTCCCTAAACAACAATTTTATTTTGACATTTACAGCTTCAATGTGCAAAGTATGTTTATGTATATACCACTAGTTAGTGAATTAGACTTCTTGGAGCATAATTTGGGCAACTGATTCAATTGTTTATAAAATTCCAAAATGAATCTTGGTTTAAAAAAATGTTTGAGTACTAATGCTACAAGTACCTTAGTTTAAACTATTCTGCTGAGGTTTTAGGTTTTCCCTCTGGTGGAGATCACATGGGCTGAAGTGTAGTAGTTAAACAAAAAAATAAATAAATAAATAAAAAATAAATAAAAAAAATAATAAAAAGAGCACATTCTGATGACACCAAACACTACCTCACCATGTACAGATACCTACAGCAACAAGACATTGTAAAGTTTAAAGTGCATTTAATTTAAGGTCTGTCTTGTTGGGTAACTTTGCATGAAGTAAGAGTGCTTTAGTTCATCTCTAGTTGTGCTGTTTAATACAAATGATGGGCTTCACTCCTAGGACCACACCTTTGTCAATGACAGCAAGTGGAACATAAAAGTGCCACCAAACTGAATGACACCATCTACTGTGTGGGCCTCAGCCACCCTTTGGGCATTTCTTTGCTTGTCACCGGAAGACGACACTTGCCCTCAATTACTGTGAAGATGAACAGAATCCATCAACTAATTCTAACAGTAAGTGTGATAGACCATTCTTCCTAACACAAAGAGGAAACTTACAATAGTTCTTTCAAGTCGTCTGTAAAATCAGTAATAACATGTGACAAGCTTCAGTGAATTTGAGCTTCAGTGTGTTTCAATTTGGTCACTTGAATTTCCAGTCATACAAAAACTGATTCAGGAAACACACAAACTATTCAGCTGATTAAATTCAAATGCCCAGAGTGGCCCGTCTCTAACAACCATCTATCATCCAATATCTATACTTTGCATTTAATTAATGAATGCCCATTAGATAAGAGAATTAATGTACGTAACAGCTTATTGGATAAAGCATTATTAAGTTGCAGCATGGAGTAATTTGCAAGGGTTGGAGGGATTTTTACAATGCACAAAATTATGGAACTGCACAACTAAGCTGAAACTGAAAGCATACTTGTGTGTTCCAGGAATTAAAAAGAGTAAATTTCTATCCAACTACGAATATTGTACACCTTAATGTAATGATGGGTTACCAAGTTGTGAACAGGTGGTACATAATGTTGCCACTTCTATCCACCCTGGCAACGTACTCCAGTACTGACACCTACACCTGGCCAAGACTACGGTACATTCAAGGTAAGGAGGCCACGCACTGGTTCACTTTTACTCCATTTTTGCATTGATGGTGCGGTGTCAGTCGATACTCAAACCTAATTTTTAGAAACGACAAACAGCCTACAATAATTGTACTAGAAGTAAGAATGTCAGGTACTATTTTGACTACCTTTACACCATTCATTTGTTCTGCAAAATGGAGGCCAAGTCAGCCAGCGTGTGCTCTACCATAACACTTCACTAGTTCTATGCAAAGTATAGCAGATGCACACAACGAGAGCAAACTCAGACCAGGATAACTGTGGGGTCAAAATGGTATTTGTAATCTTAGGCAGAGGTACAGTAAAAATGGATTACAGTAAATAGAATGCATAAAAGCTATCTTTAAAGTGCTGCTTTAAAGCATAGCTCATAATAGCCAGCATTTCTTCATATATTTTCTTTACAGTCTATAGTTTTTAACTTTAAACATAGAACTGGACTACCTGAAAGCTTCAGACAAAATATCTGTATTTCATCCTTCTACTGCTTTCATAGTTATCAGTCATGACAAAGCATCTAGTGCTCTGTCTGGGTGAATAAAAAATCCTCTGCCACTACTCCATTCCTGCATGTTGACCACAGGTACCACAGAAATCTTGCTCGATTCTGGTCCAAGTTCCTAATTTTTTTTGTTACAACTCATGAGAAGAGTAACTTTTTATCATTCTTAGAGAATGATTTTTTCATTTTTTTGGTATGCAACACAACTGTTGCATTTTTTTTTTTTTTTGCTTTTACAAGCATATAAATGTAACAGTGAGGGTACACCCAACACTAGGTGTGTCTATCTTGATTTATAAAAAAAATAAATAAATAAATAAAAAAAATCCTTCCTCACTCTTCCTCAGTTCCTTTCTCCACAGTCCATATTTCAAACATACTATTTATTGGTCATGATCTTCAGGTACTCCAGGGCATTGTGAGCAGCAGCAGATTGGGCTTCCTTAACAGTTGTACCAGTACCATAACAAACTGCCACTGGCAGTGTTGATAACTGAACTAGACACTGGTGCTGACCTGTAAAAACAACACAAGATTGATTAATATAAAAGAATTATACAGTTGTCCTGTGTAAGTTCTGCAGCTAAAAATGAAGAAAGTAAAGAAAACTGAGAGCAAATAAAATAAGGGGCAAAAACATTATTCACTGAACCCCAAAGTGTGTTAATTGAAGGAACTGACATATCAATAAATAATGTAGGTACTGTACGTGTCTTAAGGTAATAACTGATCAATGATAAGACAGATTTTTTTTTGAGATATTTTCTTATTGTCAATCATGTTTCTTTGCCAAGGCAAGGATTTTATTAATGATAACCATCTAATATCCTTACAATACTCAGGATTTTTAATCTTAGGCAGAGGTACAGTATAAATGGATTACAGTAAACAGAATGCATAAAAGCTATCTTTAAAGTGCTGCTTTAAAGCATAGCTCATAATAGCCAGCATTTCAATTCAGAAGAAAAATGTAGTGTTTAAACTACATGCTTTTGTGAAGATGATAGCATAGTCTATGTATGCTATGTTAACCAGTCACTGGAGTGTGATATTTACATATTAATGACATAATTTTGAGGGAAAATTATAATAACCATGGATATATTCTCCTAAAAAACTCTCAAAAGTCTAAGATCAATAACATCAAATAGATGAACTAAATTTACAAAGATTTTTCTACAGTATTAAAGAACAAATAAATTGGCAGAAAAATACAAATACCAAATAAGACCTACTTTATATATCCTGTATTATTATAGAAAGATCAATACAAAGTAGGTTTTGATTCATGTAAGTGCTCTGTAATTACGGAGTGAAAATTAACAAGATGTACAGTAATCCTTTGATATGAATGCCCTGATATCTCATACATTTTGACAGATGTCAGGAAATTAATTGTAACTCTTCCTCAAACTATTTCGCTAACAAAATTAATACACCATGGCCAGTGGACCCAAGGCCCTAGAATGAGCAGAGGCAACAACCACGAGAAAATACTGTTGGGAATGAATGAATGAAAAGTTAAGGAACCTGCCTTGTGTGAGAGGCAGTGTTTAAAGCATACTGCACATTTCTTTAGCAGGTGTTTGTATGTGAATGTATTACAGCACCACAGTGTTAATATATATTTAAATACAATACAGTACTGTACTTACAAATTGTATACCATATGGAAACAACCACAATGTGACTTGAAATATGACTAAAAGCTCCAAACTTTAAATTACAGTACTTGATAATGCTCTTTGTGGGCACTCACAGTCATCACTACAGCAGACACCAGTACCAGCCCCCACTAGTACATGAACACCTCCTGTGTGTGGCTTTGTTATGGTTTCATTGTATTTATGTACAATGTGTGAGAGGTGAGGAGTTGCTAGAGGGGATGATGTATCGCAGTGAATAGGGCCACTCACAATACAGAATATCAGTGAAAAGGGGACTGGGAAAAATTGTAACATATTTTCTATGTAGAAACAAAGTGGCTGGATTTACTGTATTAAGATGCTGACTGGGCCCCGTTACATTATATTCAAGAATTAATGCACTTTAACTTAACTTTCTCAACCAATAAAGGGCTATAACTCATTCAAAAATACACTAAAAAATAACAATATCAAACTTAACCTACATCTCTCCTTGTCAAAATTAAGCTGAATATATAATTTACTCAGGACACGGGAAGTGTTAAGTACAGTACTGTAATGTAGTTATTTACTGTAACCAAAGACCAACATATGTAAGGGCTTACTATGAGGCCTTAACTAATTTTTGAAAAGACTGACCTCGGGCAATACTGAGGTAAGCATAGTTTTACGAATTTCAAAAAATGAAAATTTAGCCTGAGATTCATGAAAACATTCCCTTGACATCTAATGGGGAAAAATCCCTAGAGTGTTACATACCTTTTACTAAAAGGAAAAATTTCCCCAAACTATGAATTGTGTAATAATTAAGCTAAATATACATATTTATTTAAATTTAAATATTCTTATAAGTTACTGTACTTTAATTTTTGCTAAAACATATCAAGATTATTAAAACTACAGTAATAAAATCCAACAAATATTTTCCATCTCTTACCGGTAACTGATAATTCTTCAATATCAACAAAAGTGACGACAAAGTTTGCTTCCTGGCCAATATCTTGAAGCATTTGGACAAAGTTGAGTGACAGAGAGCTCAGTGAAATTGTCTGGGAAGCAATAAAATTTTTATTAAGTACAATGAAAGAACAGTTGTGGTAAAATGACATATAAACCAGTATTTCTATGTAAATTATGTATGACCATGTTCAAAAACATGTACTGTACTGTATAAGGAAGATTAATAAATAATCTTCCAAAAACTCAAACGCTTCAATTCTAAGCACCTCATAAAAATAAATAAACAAACACATGAAAAACTGTTTTATAAAAATAGGTCCACATAGAGCACTTGCTTTTCTTTTGCCAATGAACAGCACTCTGTATTCTACCACTGAAGAAATTACTGTAAACTCAATCCTTTGCTATCTATGTTCCTTTTATATATAGTACAATTACCTTAGTAAAAATACTCCACACCCAGTCTTTAATCTTAGGCATACCTCGTCATTCCTCATATTTAAATATATAAAACCTTCAAGGAAACTGGAGTCTACAGAATGGAAGTGTAGCTTTCCATAGCTTTCACATATTCAGTGTATAAAAGGACAATACAGGGATTTTCTTTGAGAGACTAACTACCTGTACCATATATACCCCCTACTTAAGGCTTAGTTACTACTCAATTTCACTGACTCTATTTCTAGAATAAAGGAATTATATCAGGTTATTCAAACAGTCAGGAAAGGTTAAATCAGGGGTTCTCAACCAGGGGGGAATTTCCCCCCTCAGGTTTTCAGGGGGGAAACTGATACTAATATGGAAAAAATAAAGGATTTTCAGTATTATATGCATATTATTTGGAATGCACTTTTTGAGGCAGACAATCTTGGAAAGGAGGGGGGAATGACATTCTGACATATGGTGAAAGGGGTGCATGGGGCAAACAAGGTTGAGAACCACTGGGTTAAATAGACATTACAGGATGCAAATAAGAAAGTGACGAAAAACATTGCATGAGACGTCAATGACCTACAGGAAAAGTGACAAATGGGAGATGTGTGACGACTGTTGTTGGGTAAAGAGAAGAGATAATCACTCACAAATATATAAAATGAGAATATGGACAACACAGGGAACAGAGAGGAACATACTAAAATTCATGGAAATACCGGAAGCTAAAAACACAAACTGACCAGAGCTCCGATTTTGGCGGAACAGTCCTACTTTTCTGATATGCGTCCTGCTTTCTCAAGTTGTCCCGAAAATGTTACACCTTTGGAGCAAATCTTAATAAACATCCTGCTTTATTAGAATTATTGCCAGTACATACAGTCACATTTTGTTTTGTTTTTCTGCTATGTTGCATTCTTGAACAAGTGTTTGGCATTGAATGCAGAGCTCCCTAGGCAGTTCTTTGTTCCAGGAAATCTGGTCACCTTATAAAAGCAGATATGGAAAAAATCAAGAAGAACCATATACAGTACAGGAGTGCTTCGATTTACAAAAATTTGCAAATATGAAAAAGAAAAAAAATTTCCAGTCCTTCAGTATACGAAAGACCCCTCCCCCCCCATTCTTTTACAAAAATTTTTGTACGGTATTTTTTCATAGTATTGGAAGATTTTGAGTTGCTGGCACAGGCATCTGAGAGCATGCTGAACAATGTTTCTGTGCTTATATATTCAGTACTGTATATTGATCTAAAAGTATGGCTAACCAACCACCAAATAAGAAGATATTTAAAACTAATTACGCACAGGTTACTTCAATAACGTTGATATGGAGGAAGAAATTGATGAATCTATGCCTTTGTCACATGCATACCAACATGAACATGGCAATGACCACATCTCAGGCCCCACACAACAGGAAGAGGAATTTGATAATGAAGGTGATACACATGACAATCTTGACTGTGGCACCAATTGCTATGAGTTTTTTTCATAGGGCCAACACAACAGGAGGAATCTGTCAGTGATATCACACCCAATAATCTTGAAAAAAAATAAAAAATTTGTAATTTTACATTTGAGGGGAATTATATTTGTAAGAATGTATCTCCCTTTATATAGTTGTAGTTAAAGGGAAAAATGGCCTATCTAATAATTCAACTTTCTTTGTCAAGGTCATCACTTTTACATTTCACTCCACTAGGCAGTCCTTCAGGGGCCATTTCACACAGAAACACTAAAGTTTTGAGAGTACAACAAGAGATGCTGTGTGGGGTGAATCGTTGTACTGCGGGAAAAGGCTTGCAAGCTCGCCACCATTTGCTTCCCACGAATTGTCAAAATCGCAAATGACAAACCCGCGAATGACAAGGGTCTACTGTACTCTCTGGTTCACTATAGCAACGCAGATGCCACCTCCGCCGATTCCCTAGCAACGCTCCCCCCCGCCCTCCTCCCGCTCCTCTATTGAGCCAGCTAACTCGTGTGCAAAGAAATGTATATTCCCTTTATGTGTTTGCCTTTAGGACAATTATTTCATTTACTTTTTTTTCATAATATGTATGAAGGATGATCTGGGCATGTAACTGAGTAAAAATAAATGAAGAAAATTATGTATATCTACCTGAAAATACGAGATGAAAAACCATAACACCAGTAGCCTGGTGGTTACAGTGAGGAGTCTAACCTGGCCATAATGCTGCCAGTGATGTTAACAGACACAAATGTGAAAAGAAAGTTATCTGCAAATCTTCATATGTATCAGGTATTTGTAAATTTAAAAATAAATGTTGCAGGTATGGCATTAATAGATTGCAATGCTTGTAAGAGTTCAGAAATGATTACTGCTTAGCTACCTATAAAAAGTTGGATGACTACTGTACGGAAGTTAATTGTCTCAGGTTATCATCATCAGTACAGTACTGTAGTTAAAAATTGAACTTTTATATTTACAATAATTATTTTTTATTAATTAAAAATAATAATAATGTGTTTAAGTAAGCAATACTATATTTTTAATTCTGGAGTTGGATTAGGTAGAATTCAGCAACAGGGGGATTCATTGGCTTACGGGAGACCTCAATTTCACATATAGGATGCAGGATGATTTTTTAGCCATTTTTCAGACAAAATAGTGCATCTTATATGCTATAAAATATGGTTCTTATTTTCATTAAAAACATCATCAAAACACTAACATTAAAATTGCTTCATATGTAAAACAAACCTTTAGTTTTCACATCAAAGTGCTCCAGTTTTCTGCAAAACTAAAATCCTGTTACAATGAGATGAGAAAACAATACAAAAGTATTATGTGAGCTTACTGCTGCTGCTCTAATACCAGCACCAGCACAATGAGTCATGCCACCCTCACCTGCAGCTCCAGCAGCTTCTTGCCAGGGGACTGCTTTAGGTTCTTGTGGAAGTGACTCACCTTCCGGGAGTCACTGGTGGTTAGGGACAGCACCTTTGAGTCCTTCAGCCCCGAATACCTTGCTGCCAGCTTCTGGGCAATCTGTCAAGGACCAGGGAAGAGTGGCTTCATAGTTATTTGAGGATTCATTTTTGTTCAACAAAATATCCCTACAGTTACAGTAAACAACAGTAGCACATTGAATCCACCAGACTGTGCATACCTATAAAATTTTTACTAAAACCTTATAATTTAATAAGATGGTTTGGATACTTTCATGCGTATAAATACAGTACTGTATATAAAAATTCACTATTGACATACGTTGCATATTTCAAGATTTTGAAGAGAAATTTACACAAGTCCACATGTAAAATATTCATAAAACAGAGCCTTGGGACATAATGATAAAAATGCAACTCATATCTTAGAAGTGTGAAAGGTTTGCAAAGAAATTACAATACCAAATCTTATTCTGCAACAAGGATTTAGTTTAAACAAACACTACTGCCCCTACTCTTTTTTTTTTTTTTTCATATTACTATACGGTACAGCATTTTCCTTATTCATAAGGTACACTAGTACATTGAAATGACTTTTCCACAAATTGTGTGGTAATGTTACACAAAAACGGTATTGATGCTCAGTCGTGTGAGAGGTGACTGATGTGTTTTGGCATGGTAGAAACTTAACACTTGTGGGGCAAAGTCATCATTGTTCTAACACATCATGATAATATTTGGGTCATTTCAGCATACAGAACTGTTTTACATCCTTTTCACTTATTATGTTTATTAACGGCTTATAATCATTACGTACACCAAAAACTTAACTGAAAATAAGATTTGTAACACTTTAAGATGTTTTGAGAAAATATATTTTTGTAGGAATATTTATGAGCTTTTATAATGGGAGTTTAAGTAGGAAAATGGGATCTGATATATGAACAATCAATTAATGAGAGTTTTCAGGAATGGAATCCCTATGTACATTGGGAATATCCTGTAGTTTGGGTGAGCAAGAGGAGTTGGGTTTAACCTAAGAGCCAACTGCAGAAGTGAGGGGGAAGTGTACTTCCTCCCACTTTACATCAGTTGACTACAAAGCAAATATCTACAACTGTTTTATATATATGTACTGTATGTATGTATATATATATATTTCATGTACAGTAGATGCACAATGGAAATGTGGACAAAATAAATCTTGATAAAACCACACAGGAAAAGGGAAACTACATGTTACGTTGGTTAATTCCCCAGTTAACCAAGTTGGTAACACATACTGTATAATATAATTGGGCTTTTGGTAACGAAACCCAATTGAAGTTTCTTGTTTTATTATAAAAGTATTATGTTTATAATTCCTGAGTGTATATCAACCGTAAGTTCCACTATTTATGAGTGAATGAGAAAGAGGACGGCGTTTATGTAATATAAACGTGAATCAACGTCCGTTCGATAAAAGTTGGTGTGAGTGACTGACGAAGGCAACGCACTAGTGCGCGCTTACATAGATGCTGACATATGGGCTTCTCCCTCTTGGGAAAGTTACCCTTCACGTGATCAGTTCATGTTTTATTCATAGTTAGTGGAAAGTTACAGGTGGTGAATCTGAATATAAAATCAGATGTAAGACCCATTTATATAATACGTTCTGTTGATGAGACGGGCCATTACAACTAGAGCACCTTAGCTTTTGTCTTTATTCAAGACATCTTCAGAGGCAACTGAATTTACAGGGACTGAGAGAGGCTTATATGCAATGGGTGACCTTACATAACATCAGGTCAGGTAAATAACATGGGATCCACTAATCCACACACAACCTCCACCACAAATGAAAGAAGATCTTATAAAAAATGGGCAACATTACAGTCCCTGTAAATTCAGTTGCCTCTGAAGATGTCTTGAATAAAGTTAAAAGCTAGGTGTTCCAGTGTTTCCCTTTTCCTGTGTGATTTGGGATATATACAGCCATACAAGCTGTAGTTCATTACCCATTGTACTATACAGTATTTGGGGTATCATTTGTTTCTGTTTGCTTTATGTTTGGTACAAAACAAAGAAATATGAAAAGATTTCATTCGAAAGCAAATTTCACCTTTGACTTCGACCTTTTATGATAAAATGTTCAAACATCCTCTCTGAAGTGCCAATACCATGAAATCATTTGCATTTTGATATTCCAGTTATTTAACATTATTTTAGAGTATAACAGGTCTGCTTACCAATTGTTAACATATTTAGTATGAATGAATGGACAGCTACACGAACATTTTCTATGAACCAATCAGCTATTTGTAGCTATAAACGAAGGGTATTGCTTACGGGTCAGGTTAGTGTGGACGTGCTATAGCTAAACCTAAACACCATCAGTTTCAAGAGAAGAAAGTTCTACTCTACAACAGGAGCTAAGGACATAAAATTACCTTTAACTGTACAAACATTATATATCTCACTGATAGGAAAGCACACTTCCTAAGAGGAAGAGGTAACTAAACTTCTCTAGGTTTGACCCTAAAATTTCTTCCAGAGTACTCCACTGTTAACCTTGCCATCAAAAATTCTGACAAGGTAATTATCACATTTCTATATTTATTAAATACCCTGGTATCTTTATGTGCAGCATCTAGTTGTACAGTATTCAAAATCAACCATATAGACCAATAAAAAAGTTTACAGATCATGTCAAAAATTACTTCTGACAGTTCAAGAAGACCCTCAAAACTACTTTCAATCCACAAGTATTTTCTAAGTGAAAGTTTGCCTTTCACCAATGAAAAGCCTTTCCACTTTTTGAAGGCAAAATTTCTCCTGAGTACCTGTGACTTACGGGTGCAGAAGCCTTGACACTAGCATGAACCTTGTCCTCACCCAAACAAATGGTATGAATACTCAACTCGTTAGTTTTGTACTCCTGGTTGATAACCACCATATTCATATCACAACTTAGCTCATCTAAAATCACTATCTTCTCAGCTAGCATTATAACCTTCCTTGTTCTCTTCTTACAGTCCTTACATTTTCATCCCATAGTGCAGTAGAATATACAAAATATATTTTCCATACAGCAGTGTGACAGACGGGCAAACAGTGGTACGATAATTTCAAACTTTGACTCGTGGATAATCAATTTTTTTTCTGTTTGGTAAATAAGCAGATACAGTATAGTAAAATCCTGGGCCAAATTACAGAAAGTTCTGTTAATTGTGGATTGACATAGGGCCCAGCCAGGAATGCATGAACATGATGAAGTGGACAGTTACAAGAAAAATATTTTATTTAAGACCTGAAGGTGATTAGTAACAAGGAAGAGTACCTGGAATCCAGGCACAGAGCCAGAAGAGAGGTTTATAAGGTAAAGAAGTGTAAACAGGATGCATTTCAGGATATGCTAGTGCAGATGAGGTACTGTATATAAAATGGCAAATAGTGAGTAGAAACAAAGATGTACTGTAGTTGGCAAGCAGTACGTGAGAAATGACAAAGGTAACGTGGTAGTTGATAAATGCAGAATCAAGGATGCTTGGAGAAAATACAATGATGTTTACTGAATGAGGAATTTGAATGGAATGGGCACCCTAGAAGCAACAGCCAGCACAGGGACCATGCCCAAGGATTGAAAAAGAATAGGTGAAGAAAGCAATAGACAAAATGAAGAATGTAAAGACTGCTGGTAGCTTTGAAATAGTTGCAGAAATGTTGTAAGCATCAGATAAATTTAGTATGAATATGGTGAAAGGTGGCTACACCAAAAATGCAGTGGTGTAAATGGTAAACTGCAGGATGTTGCTGGCTTAAGTACACTGTACAGTAGGATTAAGTTATCATGTGGCCTTAGCAAGGCTGGAAATTCCAACATTGGGGATATATCCCTGGACTGTGTTGATGAATTCTGCTACCTAGGTGACATGATCAGTGTTGGCGGTGGTACTGAAGTAGCTCAGTTGCACGAGTCATAAGTGGCTGGGAGAATTTTAAGAAGCTGTTGCCTATGTGACAATGAAAGAACCTATCTTTGTAAAAGGAAAAATTTATGTAATTGTCAAGAGAATTGGGATGTATGGTGGTAAGATATGGGCAACTGAAGAGGATGACATACACAGACCTGAAGGAGCTCAAATGAGAATGGTGAGGTGGATATATAATGTGACACTGAAAGATAAGAAACCCTGTTTAAAGCTAAGGGGGTAACTGGGTACCGAGAGTATGGCCAGGTTTTGCATAGAGGTAGGCTGAGATGGTTTGGGCATGTGGAGAGAATGGAGGAGACTAACTGGGTTAAGCAATGTATGAGCTTGAAGGAAGGAGAGTTTAGGGGTAGGCTAAGAATAGTCTAGAGAGAGGTTGTGAGATATGATCTCAGAGATAAGAACCTGACAAGAGAGTGCAAGAGATTGTAAAGTATGGAGAGCTGTCATCAGGTTAATCACGGCTAACTCACGTAAGTGTGGAAAAATCAATGTAAAATGATTATAAAGATGATTTAATAATAAAATTTGATTGAGGTACCTCAGGTTTGTAGATAATGGGATTTCGAAGATCATCTCCATCAAAAGTACACACACACAAACACACCCTGACCCACCAAACATATCTGTAGTAAGCAAGTTTAAATATAGAACCATTTAATATCAAACATAAGAACATTAATCTCTCTTGGAATGTTTTGTTTTAATGTAATGTGCAGGCCTCTCGAAACCTAGTAGCTAAATGGTAATTTCAAAACACTTACCTAACCCATCCCTATTCTATAAACATACAGTGCCCTGCTTTGTCTACACCCTGCCCCCCTTGTGAAACTCAGCCTCAGGGGGGGAGGGGGGGAACAAAGATCGGGGGGGGGGGGAATGCTAATGCTATCTACTACACTACTAGCGTACTAATCCAGACTTGGAAAGGTTAGTAACATACGCAAACAGCCTTAAGGAAAACAACTACTCATCTCAAATATGATAACACTCAGAACTATAGTACAACTGGCCTCATGTTTAACTTTATAAAATATAAGCAGACCAGGGAAGTTAACAGCAATTGATTGAACCTGGATTAATTTGTATGCAAGATAAGAGTAGCTGTGTTTTAGGATGAGTGTTCATTGAGCAGAGACAGATTTTGTGTCCTAGGATGGTGCATTTCCTGGTTAATGGGCCTTGGAGCATGCCCCACTGGGAAAAACCTCTATGGTGTGGAAAGGTAGAAAATAAATTCAGGAAAGGGAATAAATTACTTTGAACATTACTTAAACTACTCCCAGTGAACAACAGTTTAGGATAGCCAGCTTTGAAATCCACCAAAAGATCCCAATATGATTCAACATTGTACATAAGAGCCTTTATTCAACCCTAAAGAGCTTCTTATGTACAGACTTGATAACCCTGAGGTAGGGTACCCAGGGCAGCCATCTGATGTGGAAATTTTCTGAAAATCACCACAAAGACAATTTCCTCTTGAGAACTGAAATATCCTCTTAAGAAGCCTTGGGCCAGATCCCTCATCTGAACTATGCAGTGGGAATAATGTGGTCTCAGTCCAGGGTGGCATTGGTCCTTAAACCATTTTGCTAGCTAACCATCCATGTGGGTTGTTAAATAAAATTCACTTGCAATGCAATGTGACATATATTTCCCGAGACTGTGTTGGCTGTAGTGCACCCTATATATACGTGCTCAAAATTACAGGATAACACTTACCGGTAACTGTCCGTAAGTTCATGGCTGGAACTGTACATCTGCACAGTGCGGCTGGTATCTGGGGGTTGCTCTTGACATGGTGTTTTACAGCCAGTGTCAACAAACAAACCCATGGATTGGAGCATCAGTAATTATGTTTGGTAGCAATAATTTCAAGCCTTCTCCCTTTTTGGATACCTTCTAATCCAATGGTTATCCTCCAGGAGCTTGGTCAAAGGGGAAGGATAATTTATATCCAACTTCCTTCAATTTTTAGATCCCAGGCACAAGCCAGGCCTTGGGGCTTAGGGTTTCAACCCATTGATTTGGGAGATATTTCAAATTTGCTTGAATCAAGATATGAAATTATAAATGGTAATCACTTCCATATAATAAATGACTGACCGGCAGCTGTAATATGCATTATATCCCATGTATGCATATTTCTATTCTATATGTCATTAACTTTATACCAAACTGATTTATAGGCAGCAGATACCTAAGGCCTCTAGCTTTCTAATTCCCTGAAAGGGTCCAGCAATTTCCCACAAGCACCTCAAATGTTATCTAAATTTACACAGTCTACCACTGTTCAATGATGATACAAATATGGAGAATTTCTGCACCAATGTCCACCTCAAGATAGATCAGCTTTAAAGATAGATGGGCATATGTTCTGCTTTCATTGAGAAGGAAGCATGTATACTGTAGTAGACAATCAATGTACTGTGCTTGAGGGGCAATTCACTTGCACAATTTAGCTGTGGGCACAGTTGGGGTCAGTCCACAAGGACAAAAAGATTGAGATAAAGAGCTTCTAACAACTATATGCGAGAGCTGTGTATCACCACCAATATCATTCTATCTTGCTTGTTTAGTGGTAAACAGTAATACATTTCAGGCATATACAATTAACTCAATAAATGTCTGTCAGTCAGGGGTGTGAAGTGGTGGTTTTAATGTCTTGGTTGGCTAAATTCATGAGCTGTGTGGCTGGGTCGTGTGTGCCCAATTACCCTGCTTACAAATATTTACGGCACTTGATACACTTGGAATTTTGGTAGATGACGCAGGGGAATGGTAGGTGACATAGGTAATGGAGGGGAACACTACATAAACAGTAAGCAGTGCAGCACTTATGTATACTGTACTAGTACTGTAATTTGGTCACTTATACAAAATAAAGAACAAAAATAATTTTGTTCTATGTATAATTCAAGTCTGAGTATGTAAATAAACATAACTTATATTACTCAGGATATTACAGTATAGTTCACCCAGTAAAACTATTTTCTTTATTGCAGAGCAAGAGTGTAATAATTAAAATACTCTCAAGTGGCTCAAAAATAAAGAAAATATATATAACGATGAAATTCGAAAAATGAAGAGCAAAGGTGTGTGTGTGGTGGTGAATGTATGTGAAAGGAGTGAGGTGTACTGCGTGGCTGACTCACCCGCCTCCCTCCCTTTCATGTTATGTCACGGCACACACATACATGTCTCGATAAGCTGGATAACAGCTTGACTGAACTGTGGCGTCGCTTAGATGATGGTTTGAGCGTGGAAGGAGCTATTTTTTGTACATTAATTATGTGCTATTGTATTTTATGATAGGCTATGTATCAATTTTACTGTTTATCATAGCAATTTTTTTTTAAGCGGTTATAGTGCTACTGGTCTCACACACACAAATAAATGACTTCAGTTACTTTCAGATAGCTGGACTAAATTAGAATTATTACCAAAGGAGACAAAGTTGGAATACCTGGAAGATTCAGATACGTAGTTGGAATTTGGATAAAATGAATTGCACTGTAAATTAAATAAAGTCTACAACATGGCATATACCATAATATTGGAGACGTTCTGTATTCAGTGGCTGGCCTGACATGAATGGGGAGGTTGTTGGGTGTTAATGGGTTAGGACTGCAGGAACCAAATTTTAGCAGGGAGTGCTGAATATTAATACTGGTGCCCTGGATACTCCGTGGTGCAATGTACAGTGATCCCTCGGTTAACGAGCGCCTCGGTTAACGAATTTCCTTCCATAAGATTCTTCACTTCGGTTAACGAGCGATCCCTCGATTAACGAATTCCTTCTGCCCCTCAACATGCTTTCGCTTGCTCGCTAGCTTTCGTATTAGTCCACCAATACAGTAATCGGTTCTAGGGTTTAAATTCCTTACCATTTTAGTAAATATCAAGAAGTTTATACTATTCAATCATTTTAAAAGTTTAATATTAAATTTTGTAGTCATTTTAACAATTATTGAACATAATTGAAGGTAATGAAACTAGTTTTAAGTTCGCTATCCAGCCTATCAACACACCAAGCTTGGCGTCAGTTTGTTTATCGGTTCAGAGGAAGGAACATATTGTTTGAGACTCTTCAACATAAACGCTTTTTTTCTGTGTTTCCAGTCAAATTATTGGTCATTTTGAAATATATTCTACATACAGTAGTACCCCGTTTACATGGTCAATTGAACCCACAGGGTACCGCTGAAAGTGAAAATCGGGTAAAGTGAACAACAGAACATATGGGATTAATTCCAATAGAGACTGGCCTGACCCCCAAACTCCACTTTTTCCGACACAATACCTATGTTGTAGTAAAAATAACATCTTAATTTTATGATGGTATGCACACACAATTAATATTTAAGAGAAATACAGTCCCAGGTTAATGTCCATTCAAATACAGTCAACCCTCGCTTTACGCGGTCCCACATTCCACGTTTCCACGTTGCCCTGCCGAAACCGGAATGCTCACATTCCGCGGTGCGTGTACCCCTTTACGCGGGTGAAGTATAATTTTTTTATTTAGCTCATAAAATTCATACAAATTATCCGGCCAGAATATAATTTACATTGCTGGAATGCTTACAATTTGATGATCATTTTGAATATAAACATCATAGATTTTGCATTAGACATACAAATTTTAGATCTAATGTAAGTACTTTGTTTACTCTGAGTAAATATGTTATCTTTTGTGCAAAATATATGACATTTATATTCAAAATATTCCTGGTCTTACAAGGAATCCAGCAATGTCAATTATATTATCCTAACTTTAGTCTGAGGTATCATTTATTACTAAAAAGGTAAATATTCTGGTTTCTCCCACACATTTATCTGGTAGGGAGGGTTGGTGGGGGAGGGAGGGACCGACCCACCGTCTGGCACGGTTGGAAGAGGGGGTACTTTGATTGACAGATAGTGTCGTGAAGAATATTTTTTTTTTTATTAACTGAAGATATTTGTTTTAGCTCATAAAATTCATACAAATTACCCGGCCAGAATATAATTTACATTGCTGGAATTCTTACAATTTGATGATCATTTTGAATATAAACATCATAGATTTTGCATTAGACATACAAATTTTAGATCTAATGTAAATATTTTGTTTACTCTGAGTAAATATGTTATCTTTTGTGCAAAATATATGACATTTATATTCAAAATATTCCTGGTCTTACAAGGAATCCAGCAATGTCAATTATATTATCCTAACTTTAGTTTGAGGTATTATTTATTACTATACCTTAAAATCAAGTGGTTTTCCCCCCAAAATTTCTCAGAGAGGGAAGAGCCAGCGAGTGTAGTGTGAGAAGAGGGGGAGGGAGTTGAGTCCATTATTTGAATGGACATTAACTTGGCGACTGTATTTCTCTATTTCTCTTAAGTATTAATTGTGTGCATGTACCATCATAAAATTAAGATGTTATTTTTACTAGAACATAGGTATTGTGTCGGAAAAAGTGGAGTTTGGGGGTCAGGCCAGTCTCTATTGGAATTAATCCCATATGTTCTGTTGTTCACTTTACGCGTTTCTCACTTTCCGCGGTACTCTGTGGGTTGAATTAACCGCGTAAAGTGAGGGTTCACTGTAATGGACTCAACTTCCCCCCCCCTTCCCAGCTCACTAGCTTCTACCTCTGAGAAATGTTTGGGTGAAAACACTAGATTTTAACTTATAGTAATAAATAATACCTCAGACTAAAGTTAGGATAATATAATTGACATTTCTGGATTCCTTACAGGTCAGGGAATATTTTGAATGTAAACTTCATATATTTTGCACAAAAGAAAAAAATATTTGCTTTGTATAAACCAAATTATTACATTAGATGTAAAATTTGTATGTCTAATACAAAATCCATGATATTTATATTCAAAATTATCATCATATTGTAAGAATTCCAGCAATGTAAATTATATTCTGGCCGGGTAATTTGTATGAATTTTATGAGCTAAATAATAAAAAAATATATATATACTTCACCGCGTATATGAGTAGATGCACCGCGGAAAGTGAAAGTCTGGTTCTGGCAAGGTACCACGTAAATGAGAAATGGTGGAAAGTGAAACCGAGTAAAGCGGGGTAATACTGTATTGATAATATATAGTGCAGTGTTGATTTAAAGAAAATAATCTTGAATTACACCCAGTGAACTAAAATTTTATGGGTGAAATGGCAGCATGGGGTGACTTCTCTTCCACCCCAATGCCTTCTCTTCTCCCTTCTCCTCCACCCCCATTCTAATTCCCATCATCAACCAGGAGCCTTCTACATGTACACCTCAAAATAAGTGTACTTTACTGCATTTATTTTTCGTTTGTACGTAATTTTCGGTGAGCTGGAACCAATTACCCAAAAACCCATTGAAACAATGGTTTCGGTTAAAGAGCAACCTTCTGGATCGAATTGTGCTCGTTAACCGAGGGACTACTGTATAGTACTATATACCCTCCCTTCCCACTTCCATGTGGAGTGAGCCAGCATGCACCCAACCACAACAATAAACACCAGACTGACCAAGCATGGAGCACAGCACAGCGAGTGTTACCCACATGGCCAAATATGCCAAGATTTTCCCAGATAACTTTATATAACTCATCATTTCCCGAGTTATTTTATAATAAATTCCGAGACCACATAAGTGCCGAATTATATGTAATTCCGAGATATTGAATGCCGAATTATATTATCAAGGGTTTACTGTATATGACAGTTTATGACACCTTCCAGCCATAT